GGCTGGGGATTATTGAGTGCAGGTTTTGGAAGCGGGAGAATCCAGGCACAGAACTGGCTGGGGAGTTGAGGCTGGAAGCTCTGGAGCTGCAAGCAGAGGCTGCTCTCCATCCTCCCTGCCTGCTTGTCCTCCCTGCCCCGATCCAGGGAGGCTTGGAAGAAGGCTGGGATGGGGATGGATTGAGAAGCTGGTGCAGGAGCTCTGAAGTGGAGCACCTGGTGTAAATGGCCAGAGCTGGCAGGTGGGAGAGGAGTGGAGGGTGCTGGGTGCAGGCTGGGGAGGGCAATGTGCACCCTGAATCCTTGGCTGCTGAGGTTTTGGACGCAGGGACTGAAGGGGAGAGCGCAGTGCAATCCTCCTTGTCCTCGCTGCCTGCATCCCTAAACTGCCTCAGCTCCTGCATCCTCAGCCCAACTCAGCTCCTGCCTCCCCACACCAACCCCCACACCCCTCTGGGTGGCTCCTGGCCACTCTCAGGGTGGCTCTGCCCTTCCTCTTGGCCACAGTGGATCCATCCTGTTCCCAGCTGTCCTTCCAGCCATTTTGGGCATCTGCAGGCGCTGTTGGACACGAGGAGGTGGAGTTGGTGCCATCTGCCCTGGCAGCTACTCGTGGAGCACCAGCCACCTGCTCAGGGGAGATGCTGAGCTGCACCTTGGCAGGGCCTTCCCTGGTAAATGAAGCATCCCAGTCCCTCCCTGCTGCTAATTAGGGGCTGCCTGAGGAAGTGGCGTGGCTGGGGTGGCGCTTTGGGACTGGTGTCATTATGCCTGGTGCTGTGGGTAGTTTGTTCTTCTTTGTGCAGGAGCAGCTCAGCTCTGCTGTTGCCCGGATGGGCTCCCAGAGGCTCCTTGTTACCTCTCTCCTGTCCCCTTTTCTTTGCTTGTGGCACAGAGCTGTACCAGAGGAGGGTTAAGTTGGGTATCAGGAAATATCCAGAGGCTGGTGGGCACTGAACAGGCTCCCCAGGGCAGTGGGCACAGCCCCAAGGCTGCCAGAGCTCCTGGAGGGTTTGGACAATGCTCTGAGGGACAGGGTGGGATTGTTGGGGTGTGTGTGCAGGGCCAGGAGTTGGACTGGATGGACTGTTCTCCAGGCTGTGGCAGTGTCCTTCCCCTTGTCTGGACTGTTCAGAGGAGAGGCTGGTGTGCCCCTCACCTTCCCAAATCAGCCAGAGGACAGGAAACCCTCCCTACCATCCCTTTATGCTCTTTCCCCTGAACCAGGAGGTCACTGCAGGATGAAGGTACATCCTCATAGAACCTCAGGGAACAGCACACCTGATCTGGAGCTGAGGCTCTGAACCCAGGCAGGTCTTTCCCTCTTCCCAAAGCCCTTTCACTCGTGCAGGCTCAGCCTGGGGGCCGAGGAGCTGTCCCTGGAATCCCTCTGGCTCAGCCGCGGTGGGAAGCGCGCAGGGCGGGGACGTGAATTATTTGTGACGACACCTTTTTGCTTTCCCCTTCCTCTCTAGGAAACTGACTTTATTATCCTTGTTGTTGTTGTTATTTATTGTCCCCTTTCTGCTCCAGTGCTGCTAAGAGCCAGGGAGAGGCTTGGCTGGAATTCAGAGTGGTGACAATGAGCCCGAGCCCCTTCCCTTTTGTTCCCTGCAGCTCGGATGGATACCTCACTGAGCTGCCTCTCTCCCTCATCTCTGGCGGCTCAGGAGGTTTGGGAAAGGTCAGCTCCAAGCTTTTTTTGGCTCCAGACAAGTGCTGCTGTCATTGTTTGCCAAATGCCTTGCTGTGGCCTGTCTCTGCAGCGCTGGGATGATTTAAGCAGGGCTGTGCTCTCACCTCCCTGCACAGCCCCGCTGCCCTCTGAAGCTCAGTCTCCAACAAGTGATAGGACAAAAGGTTTTCGAGTAAGAGAGGAGAGATTCAGGTTGGATGTCAGGAAGGAATTCTTCTCTGTGCAGGTGGTGAGGCCCTGGCACAGGTTGCCCAGGGAGGTTGTGGGCTCCCCATCCCTGGAAGTGTCCAAGGCCAGGTTGGAGCAACCTGGGCTCGTGGAAGGGATTGGAATGACGTGGCCTTTAGGCTCCAAAGCATTCCATGACTCCATGATTCCTGAGAGATCCCACCTCCCCTCCCCAGCTGGGCTCAGGCACAGCCTCCAGCCCCCCGAGCAGGGGCTCCAGCTGACGTTGAGGAGCGGGAAAAAAACCCTCCTCCAACCCCCTTTGCTCATCACGCTTTGATAGTTCATCCTTCTGGCTTTGCTGCTCAGCCTGACCACCAAAACTCACTGAAGGGGGGGAGGGTCTTCATGGCAGTTTGGGCTGTACCCTGCTGTCCCCTCCTCCCCATCCCTTGCAGAGCAGCTCCAAGGCACCGTGTGAGCTGCTCTCCCAGGGCTGGAGCTCGTTGGCAGGGAGTGGGAAGGTGTCTGTCAAACACCGGGGCTGGAACAGCTCACTTGCACAACATTCAGCTGATGTGGAGCAGGAGGTAAATAAATAGCTTTTATGCCATCCCTTTTGCTCACTTATTGGCATATTATGTTCCTGAAGTGTTTGTGGAATACAGTTCTGGGGGCAAGCGTAGACCAAGACTTCAGTTCTTATAAAATAGCAGTTTTCTTTATGTGGCTTGACCCAATTAACTTGATAATACATTGTGGCCTTTCTGTCATTTACCATTGCTTTTATCACTTCAGATGAAGAGATTCTTTAAAATATGCAGGCGAAATAATTAGAGGGAGGATCACTTAAAAGGTGACAGGACCCAGTTTGGCTCCAAAATCTGAAAGAACGATTTTAAAAGTGCCTTTGAAGAAGACACGGCAAAGCCATGAGCAGTGTTTTCATTTCTTCTGAAGTCCTGTCCAGGGCTGAAAGCTTTTATTTTTTTTCCTGCCCAGTTCACAGGCTGGAAACTGTGGAATACAGGGACCAAAGGCAGAAGTGCTGTTGGTGCTGAGAATTATAGAAACGTGGAAACATTGAGGTTGGAAAAAGCTCTCCAAGGCCTTTTGAGTCCAGCACAGTGTTTACCACTCAACCATGTCCCCAAGTGCCACATCCACACAGTTTTTGAACACTTCCAGGGATGCACCACTTCCCTGGGCAGCAGGAGCCAGGCTGGGAAGGAAATGCAGCCAAAAACAGCAGCAAGGGTCTTAGGATTTTGGAGTTTTTGGAGTGGTTTGCGCTGCCCTGAACTGGGTCCTACCAAAAACTTCTCCAGTTTGGGTGGGACCAGACCTGGCAGGACCTTGTTGGATGTGTGAGGCGCCTTTCCCGTGCTCTGAGGCAAGAACAGGAGGGCTCAAGAAAGGAGTGAGTTGTCTTTGCCACCTGCTTTAAAACCCTGGGCGTGCTTCCCACCTTGGTTTCCCATCTGCAGCCTGGGCAGGTGGCTTCAGGTGGGCACCTCTCCCCATCTCCTTCGAGCAGGAAGGTGGTTGAACTCCAGGCTGGCTCTGCATCCCACATCTGGCTCTACATCCCACATCATCTCCCAGCTCCCTTCCCTTCCATCAGTCTGAGCTCCAGGGCAGCTCCATCTCAGCCTGTGACTGACAATGCATTACAGGGACTTCCCTGCTTCACAGCCCTGTGCCTGGGGATGGAAAGAATGGGATGAATCCCGCTGTTTCCTGCTGACACCTCCCCTGCACCCTCTAATCTCGCAGCTCAACGTGCTCATCTGCATTAAAAAAAAAACAAAACCAAAAGGGAGAAAGAGCAGCAGCGGGAAGTGCAGGAGAGACTATCCAGAGAGCTTCATAAAAATGATGAATTGCCTTTAGATATTGGGCAGGAGAGGAAGAGGATTCCTCTTTTATTTCATGACATTAGGCTGTAGTGGCGTTGTTGCTGCTGCTGCGAGTGCAGAGCTCGGGGAATCTCAAGGCAGTCTCGGGGAATCTCAAGGCAGTCTCGGAGCCAAACGCCTGGGAATTGAAGTGTAAATGAGCTGCTGCTGAGCATTTTATTTTGCCTTTTATGATTTCTCTTTCTCTCATTATGTAGGTCAATCTCCATTCCTAACGTGGGGCTGTGTGAGGGGGCGGGGGGAGCACAGGGAGGTGAGTGGTACCCTGGGGTGGTGGGTGCTGTGGTGGTGATGCCAGTGCAGGGAGCAGCTGGAGCTGTGTTAAAGCAGGTTCAGGTTTGATTTCAGGAGAAGATTCTTCCCCCAGAGGGTGGTTGGCACTGAACAGGGTCCCCAGGGCAGGGGGCACAGCCCCAGGGCTGCCAGAGCTGCAGGAAGGTTTTGAACAACACTCTGAGGGACTGGGTGGGATTGTTGGGGTGTCCTGAGCAGGGCCAGGTGTTGGTCTCTGATCCTTGTGGGTCCCTCCCAGCTCAGGATATTCTGTGATTCTCTGGTATTTACCTGCCTAGCAGTGCACGTTGGGATTGTCAGGCTGTGCCTGTGGCATGCCCAAGGGGCAGAGAGCTCTGGCATCTCCCGCTCTCTCTGTCTCTCACCTGTGCCCCCTGAGTCTGGAGACACCTGTCCCCTCCCTCCCTCCCTCTCTCCCTGAATTACATCTCCTGCCACATTAGCAATTCAGATGCTGAACTGGGCTGTGCTGGCTGCTCTGATTAGTGGATGTGATAAAGAGATTCCTGCATCTCCCTTGTGGGAGTTGTGATGTGGCTGCTTTGCATACCCGGCAGTAAATCAGGTAGTGTGTGTGTGTGATGGGGATGATCTGTCCCACACTGAGACAGGTGAGGACGTTTCCTTCTGCATTCCTTGCCTTCCCTTTCCCTTGCTGGTGAGCAGAAAACACTCACAGTTGTGTTGTGGAGGAACAACTGTGTGTGTGCCCTAAGCCAGGAAAGGACCTTGCTGTGCCTGGAGCATCCTCCTGGAAGTCTGGGAACCTTTGAGGGCTGTAGCACTCCTTGTCCTCAGCCTGGGCGGTGTGGGCAGCTCTGCCAGGGAAGGGAGGTGGCTGGCATGGGTGGGTGCATCCCTCTGGACCCCTCCTGTGGGCAGAGGGGCTGTGGCTCACCCTCCTCTCCGTGTCTGTGCCCGCAGTGTGCCGGGGGATGCTCTGCGGGTTCGGGGCCGTGTGCGAGAGGAGCTCCAGCGACCCCTCCCAGGCCTCCTGTGTCTGCAAGAAAACAGCGTGTCCTGTCGTGGTGGCCCCTGTGTGTGGCTCGGATTACTCCACCTACAGCAACGAGTGTGAGCTGGAGAAGGCTCAGTGCAACCAGCAGAGGAGGATCAAGGTCATCAGCAAGGGACCGTGCGGTGAGTGAGGACAGGATCTCCTCGTGGAGGGTCCAGGGAGACTTGTCCTGAGCTCACTGACATCATCACTGGCGATGTCCTGGGTGATGGGGACGTGTCTGACAGGGAGGGACACGGAGGGAACCGCCAGCTGATCAGCAGAGTGTAATAAGGAGGCAAAGTGGTGGCCAAAGGCTGTTCATGGGGTGCGTGGCAGCCCCGTGGGAACAGCCCACTCCTGGGCATCTCTGATGTCCTGGGGGCTGAGAGGGGACACTGAGGGATCACCAGCTCTGCCCTGGTGATCAGCAGAGTGTGGTAAGAAGGCGAAATGATGGCCAAAGGCTGCTCAGGGAAGGAGGGTGTGCCATCTCTCCCTGCTGCCCCTCCCCATCTCCCCAGGGTGGGTCACGTCTGCCACAGCTGGAAGCCGGAGCTGGTTGATGCACAGGCTGGGTGGGCTGATAAAAGCCCTTCCCCAGCCTGGCATTCACCAGCTGCGAGCAAGGAGCTGTGTAAATGAGACCCCCCCCTTCCAGTCTCCTCATCTCTGAGTAAATTAACTTGACCTTTCCCTCACACGGCGCGCTGGCTCTGCAATAAATCCACACCCGGCCCTCCTGCTGGGGCTCCTGGCACGGGGGAGAGAGCACTGAGAGGTTTATTTAAAATCATAATCATAAAGTGACAAATAAAAGGGGGAGGAAAAAAAGCAAAAAAAAAAAAAAAGCAACTGGCAAATTTTGGCCCTTCCTTGTCCGTGAGGAAATTGCTCCTTGAGCTCTTCCTCTAATTAAGGTTTGCAGGAGGTGCCTTGAGGACCCTCGATGCTGGAGCAAGAGGCTCTCAGAGAGCATGTGCAGGGAAGGGAGCCCGCAGCAGTGAGGCTGAGAGGTTTAGAGAGGAGAGGTGAGGGGCCAGGTGAGGAGGGAGCTCCCTTTTGTGTGCCGTGGGGCTGGGGCCAATCCTACAGCCTCGCCCTCCCGCCTGTCTCCATGGGCAAAGTGAGAGTGGGCAAACCCCATCGGGGTGAGCTCTGCTCAGGAGCAGGCACATGGCACAGGACTGAAGCTGATGGGGGGATGTCTGTTGGTGCCGGGCATGTTTTTGGGCGCTTGGGAGGGGTCGGGCTGTCTGGGTGATACCGGGATGCATCAGGGTGATTTCTCCCGCGGCGCCACCGCCCCGCTCACACCTATGCCGTGCCCCCTCTCCTCTCTCCCACAGGCTCCAAGGACCCCTGTGCAGAGGTGACCTGCAGTTTTGGCAGCACCTGTGTCCGCTCCACCGATGGCCAGTCGGCCAAGTGCGTGTGCCCGTCCTCCTGCAGCGGCGTCCCCGAGAGCCCCGTGTGCGGCAGCGACGGCCGCGACTACCGCAGCGAGTGCGACCTCAACAAGCACGCCTGTGACAAGCAGGAGAACGTCTTCAAGAAGTTTGATGGCCTCTGTGGTGAGTCCTCTGCCCCCTCCCTGGGGCCTTGAAATAGCTGGGGGGAGAAGGGTTTCCGAAATGTTTCCGCCCGGGGTTAGGAATATTGAGGGTAAAGCCGGTGGGAAAGGGGAAGGGTTGGGGAGGAAAATGTGGCTGTGCTCCCGCTGTTGTCAGCTCAGAAGGGTCAGTCTGGGCAGAAAAAGGTCAGTCTGAACAGAAAAAAATGTTGGTTTGGGCAGAAACGGGTCAGTTTAGGGAGAAAAAGATCAGTCTGTGTGTGACAGCTTCTGAAACTCGGAGCAAGCCAGTGCTTCCCCCATAGCAGTTGTTTCTGCTCGGGACCCACTGACCTAGAGAGCAATTCCAACATCTGTGCCACCTCCTTTCCCTCCTGCTGTTCCCCTGACCGCAGTTCCCCGGCTGTGCTTTTGGCAGGGAGCCTGCTGCTCGCCAGCATCCCAGGCAGCTCCTGCTAATTAAAGCATCCTGCCAGGCACAGATCCCGGAGCACAAACAGTCCCGAGCTCCGAGGGTGGATTCCTCTTCGGCTCGTGGTGGCTGTGGACACTGCTAATTAAAAGCAGCTGTATTCATTAAGGAAAACCATGAGATCAGCCAAGACACGTGCCAGACCAGTGTTTGTCCCCAGGGGAGAGGAGTGTGGGAGTTGAGTTGGGTTCAGGCTGGAAACCTGGAAGAGCTTGAACTGTGGCTTTCACTGCTCCAAGTGGGGCAAGAGCAGGAGGTGTGAAGGAGGTGCTCCAGGTTTCTGGGGCAGAGAAGAAGCTTTGGGCCTCTTTTGAGGACCTCGTGATCTTAGCTGGGCACCAACAGAAGCTCAGGCAGCCTGGGTTGAGCAGCTGGGCTGTAAAATATGAAAATCTGGGGCAAAAATGTGCTATTTGGACTCTGTTGGGTGTTGCTGTAAGGCTTGAGGATGTGCTGGAGGTAGGGCAGAGTGGGGACAGGCAAACCACTTAATTTCCATGCTGAAATGGGCAAAGCAAAAGAATTCAGCTATGGCCCTGTCCTGGGCCTGCCTTCTTCATGGGGATGTGGGGACGACCAAAAGGTCCCTCTTTGTTCTACTGTTTCCTCCCCTTGTCAGCCTGGATTTCAGACTGGGATTAAAGGGTGGGAACACCCCATGGTGCTCCTGGAATTGCAGACAATGAATCAGCACTCTCCAGGTGCCTGCTTGGCAAGGAGGGGGGAAAATCCCAGGGCTACAGCAGGGATTAGCAGGGCAGGCAGCACCTGTTTTGCCCGTGTCTTTGGGGTGCTGAAGTGAGCTCAGCTCATCAGACAGGGGGATCCAGATAAGCCTAGATTAGAGCCTAAACTTAGATTAGAGCTGTGGGGGCTTGGCAGCATGTGGCCCTGGCTGCTTTCAGGGCTCTTGCAGCACTTTGGGAAGACAGTGAGGGGAGGGAGCGTGGAAGGAGCAGGGTGGGAGTACCAAGCACCCCACAATGCCCAGCAAACACCTTTGGACTCCGGAGATTCACCTGGGTCAGGAGAGGAACAGAGAGGGGGGAGTGAAGGCAGCTCAGGCTGGGCAAAAAGGCAGGGCTCATCCCATCCCATCAGTGCTCCCTTTGGAAAGGCCACGTGCCCATGGCGTGAGCCCAGCACGAAGGAACAGACTGAGCTCCACAGGCGGAAGGCCCGGAGCTCTTGGGGCCACCCTGGGAAGGAGCAGGGCCTGGGAAGCACCTCCCTGGGCTGGGAATGGCGGTGCCTGACTCCCTGCTCCGGGCACAGACCCCTGCAAAGGCGTCCTCAACGACATGAACCGCGTCTGCCGGGTGAACTCCCGCACGCGGCGGGCGGAGCTGCTGCCGCGCCCCGAGACCTGCCCGCCCAGGAGGGAGCCTGTGTGCGGGGACGACGGCGTCACCTACGACAACGAGTGCGTGATGGGGCGCTCGGGGGCCATCCGGGGCCTGGAGATCCAGAAGGTGCGTTCAGGGCAGTGCCAGCAGCAGGGTAAGTACCTCTCTACCCCCTCCCTGTGCCCCGCGGAGCGCTGGCGTCCCCGACCTCTCTCACCGCTCTGTGCACGACTGCATCCCCCTTCCCCTGTCTCCCCGTGCCCCTGGGGGCGTGGGTGTGAGCTGTGCTGTGCTCTCCCCCCCACCCCCACCCCCAGACAAGTGCAGGGACGAGTGCAAGTTCAACGGGGTGTGCCTGAACCGCCGCGGCTCCGCGCGCTGCTCCTGCGACCGCATCGCCTGCGACGGCGCCTTCCGGCCCGTCTGCGCCCGCGACAGCCGCACCTACGGCAACGACTGCGAGCGCCAGAAGGCAGAGTGCCACCAGAAGGCCGCCATCCCCGTCAAGCACAGCGGACCCTGTGGTAAGCACTGGTTGCCCTCGGGAATAGTGGTCCCCCTCCTACGCTCCCGGCGTCCCCCCCCCGGCCGTCCTGGCGTGCGGGGAGCGGTGCTGGAGAGCTGCAGGTAAGTGTGGGTGGTGCCCGCTGAGCGAGCCACAGGGTCCTCCTCGGTCTCGTGTCCCAAGAAGCCCTCAGTATCCCTGTTCTTTGTCCTTCCAGCAGTCCTTGTGTCGTGTGCATGTGTGTTCCCCCCGTGGTCTTGTCTCTGTCTGATGTGCTCAGTTAACGCGGGGGAGAATCTTTTGGTTGTCCGTGATGTCCAGCTGGTTTCTCTCATCCACCACCACACGGCTCCCTGCAGCCCATGCCATTCATTCCTCCTCCCAGGGTAGTGCCAGTCTCCAAGCTCCTTCCATGCTCTCCCCCCTCCATGCCTGCCTGCTTCTCTCAGCTCCAGGTACTCTCCATAAGGAACTCTTCCCAGCGTGCCTGCTCTCTGGAGATCTCACCATGTCTTTGTCTTGTCTCTAGGAGAAGCTTTTGACCTTTCCAATGGATCTTTTTTCAGGAGGATGTGATAGGATGGGAGCTTTGGGTCCCTAGGATGTTGGGAATGTCCAGTTTTAAATTTGTCACACGGAAAACGAAAGATGTTAAAACTCAGTCTCTGGATTGATTTGTATGAGCTGGAAGGACTGTTCATTTCAGCTCCATTTGGTTTTTACTAGCTCTGGAACCGTGTCCCGTTATTTTAAGCTGATGTTTTTATAAGGTATCAGCTGTATTAAACCTCCTGAAGTACTTGGGAATTAGGCCCCATGTTGTGGATCTGTTTTGTTGGCTTTGCGCTCCTGCTGTAGGTTTTTAATGCTGCCAGACCCAGCTGCTTGAAAACCGTTTGTCAGGCTCCCAAAATCACGCTCAGTACAATCACAGCTGTTATTTTGGATTGCCTGTTTGCCTGTGTTTCTGGTGGGTGAATGGTTAGGAGTCAGTTCCCCAAATTTTCCCTGCGGGGAGGGCTGGAATCCTGGAGCAGCAGGGCCAGAGGGGGTGGTTGTTTGCATCCCTAGTGCCCTGGGCTCTCTACAGACCCTTTCCCATGCCTCCTTTAGAGGCTGAGGCTTCCCAAATTTCTAGTATGAGCAGGGAACTGGTGCTGCTTGTGACCCTGCTGTCAGCCATGCATCATTCCCACCATGTTCCATGGAGGGAGGCCAGCAGACAGCAGGACACGGCCCTGATGCACCTGCCATTCCTCCTTCCCTCCCACTCTATTTTAGCTTCCCACCAACTTCTCTTCCTCCAGGTGAGGACAGCAGATGTGCCCATCTGCTTTCAGGAGCCACATCCTTGTGGGATGGCAGCAAAAAAAAAAGCTCATAACCTGGGGGGAATAATAAATCAAAACTGGGGCTCTGTCTGCCAAAGCCTGGGATTCCAAAGTCCGTGTGACAGCTCCAGGCAGTCCTGTAGCCAGCCCCCATGAGGTGTGGGCAGCTTTTTCACTCCCCATCAGCTTAGGAAAACATCTTCTGTGAGCTCAGTGCTGCTGAGTTCACCCATGCCTTGGTGCTGTGAGAATGCAGGAGGAGCTGGGAAAGGGAGGGAATGAAAGAACCCGTTAGGATGGGCAGTGTTTTGATCTCCCACACATACCTGCCTAATAGACTCTGAGCTCTCTGCTGTCTCTTCCAGCAGTCAGGCAAAGGAGGCAAAGCCAAACAAATCAGTCCAAGCCTTGGTTTTAATCCTTCTCTGTTCTGGCACCGTGATGGTGCAGGTGAGAAAGGAGGGATGGGGTGAGGCCGATGTGGACAGGAGGTGGAGGGAAGGAAGGTGTCTGCAGTTGCATCTTTTTTTTCCCCTCCCTCCCTCTCTCTGCTCTCCCTCTCCCCTCTCTCGCCCTCTTTCTTTCTCTCTCTTTCCTTTTTCGTCTGTGTCTTGTGTTTTACAGTGTTGCCTATGTGGAGGAAGGAGTTGTGTCCTCGCATCACCCTCTGCTCCCTACCCGGACATCTCCGCTGGGAGGTCGGCTCTCCCCCCTTCTCCGTGGCCAGTGACAGTCCTGGCCTCTTCTCACTGCTCCCCACCTCTCTAGTTTTGCTTGAGAGCCCCTGGGATGGAGAGGTTGCCCTGCTTTTGCTCCCATCCCTCGCCCCAAACTCTTGCTGCTGGAATGGAAATGCCTTGCAGTGCAGTGGGGTCTTGTCCGATGCTTGACCCTTCGAGGCACATGAGAGTGGGAGCAGAGGTGGGTGCTGTGAGCCCCCCACTCCTTAGCAAGCCCCTCTTGGGCTGGTGCATCACTCTGGACTGCTCCTGGTTGATCTTACCTCTCCTTTTGCCCCCAACTAACCCCCCTTTCTTCCCCACCTCCTCCCTCCCGGAGTTTCTGCCTGCCTGGCACTGTGGTGCTTGTCCCTTTGCTCTCCACAGTGTGTGTCCTGCTTGCCTGTGCCAATCCCCTGGGCAGGGGCTCTGCAGGGACCACAGCTTTCCTCTCTGGTGTCCAGCAAAAGTACCACGTGCCTTTTTGGAAGCACTGAGGAGCTCTCTGTGCTCAGAAGTGGTTCTTCCCTGGGAGTATTTCCCTGTGGAGCTGGTGCTGGGGCCTGCTGGGTGTCACAGGCAGGGGTTGATGGGGTGTGATGGGTTACAAGGCAGCTTCAGAGCCTCTACTCCAAGGGCATCCTCAGCTGGGGCTGCAGGAGAGCTCAATGTGCCCAAGGGCTTGGTTAGGTGTCTGCACAGAAGCATGGAACGGTTTTGGTTGGAAGGGACCTTAAATATCCTCCAGTCCCACTCCCTGCCATGGGCAGGGACACCTTCCACTATCCCAGGTTGCTCCAAGCCCCGTCCAACCTGGTCTTGAACAGGGCAGCAGGTGAGAGACCATGCTCTGGAGTCACCCAGGGTGCAGAGAGAGCGTTTTGCTTTCTCTGTGCTTGGGTTTCTCTGCCTGCAAGATGGAGAAGGGCCAGGAATCGAAGCAGGTCTTGATTATAGCACAGCTCAGTTGGTCCTCCTTGCATCCACCCACAGCAAACCTGGTGCCAAAACTCCCAGTGACGTCTGGAGGTGCCCAGGGCTGCGTGTGAGATTTCATAGCCTGGGATTTGGGCTGTGAAGGAACTTCATGTGCTGCATCTCTGCAGGTTTCCCTGCTTAAGAAGGGCAAGGAGTACCAGGGCACCATTCTCCATCGGGACTGGCACCTCCCTAGGCTCTCACTCGCTGCTCCTTTGCTTCCCAAGGCAGGAGCCTGAGTCTGGATTTCATGTGAGGGAATATTTTTGCTTCATGCCTCACATAACTGTGCCCATCAGAGGCACTTTCTCCGTGCAGACTTGTGTCTCTGTGCTCGGGGGACATGATTACGGGTTTCAAAAAGGGAAGCAGAGGCTGATGTGAGCAGCGCCAGAGGGCTGAGCTCTGCTGCTCCCGCTCCTTGGGGACTGCTCACACACTCCTCAGCTGCAGGGAAGTTGAGGTATGCAGCTGAAAAGGCTGGGTTGGAGTAGTTGCCTTGTGCCTGAACTGCCCCCCCCTGTTCCTCTGCAGACCCTCCCTCTAAGTTTTGGCTCGGTAGGTGCTTCCCAAAGAGCCGGATCCCCAATCCGGGCGTGCCTGTGCCCGTGCTGGGCTGTTCCTCCCTGGCTGACAGCATGCAGCCAGACTCCTGAGGGCTCAAGCCTTGCTCTTGCTCTGCAGACCATGCCCCTGCCATGGTCCTGGCAGGGGAGGTGCCCAGTGCCACTCCAGAGGCTCCGGAGGGACCTTTCCCACCACGCTCCGCTCTGTGCCTGCCTCGCTGCCGGGTGTTGGTGGGGCTGTGCTGTGTCTGTGCCTGTTGCCTCCATCTCCTCCTGGCTGCATTGTGTGTTCCCCACGTGTGTTTTGTCCTGTGTCCTTGTCAGTGTTGAGCACAGATCAAATCCGTGCCCTTTCCTTGCCCCAGGTCCTCGGGGGTTTTGTCTGGAGGCACGAGAAGGGTCGCTGGGCCGTGCTGGGTCTGTCCCCCTGCCTTTTAGCTGCCTGGCTTGGCTCCTGGATGGTGGGGGGAATTCCTGGAGGGGCACTCCTGGCTGCAGCAAGCTGGCTGGGGAACGGGAGGGACCACAGGGCTTTCCCTGCCAGCATTTCCAGAACTGTACCAAGGATTTGGACACGGCCTTTGCTCTTTGCTCTCAGTGCTGGCTGCTCACCTTCCCACCCCTGAGCATCCCCACAGGAGAGGTGTGACCTGCTTGGCTGTGGCTGGGCAGAGGGGATGCTGCTTCCCAGCCTGCAGCAGTGCCAGGGGGCTTTGCCCATCCCCAGGGAGCCCCAGGGCTCTGCTGGAGGACTGGGCTGAAGCGAGGACATTCCTCATCCTGCCCCAGGGCAGCTCCCTGGGCTCAGGAGGGAAGAGGAGGGGATGGGTGGTGTGGTGGAGCCAAATGCAGGTGTCCCCTCCAGCCAGGTCTCCCTGGGCTTAGGCTGAGCAGTTCAGGGGACAGGCACCCCGAGGACGTGGATCCCGGCGAAGGGAGCCATCCCTGCGTGAGCTTTTTGGCCACTGGAGGTTCTGCTGATCCCACTGCTCAGGGGCAGAGCATCCCTGGGATGGTGATGGGATGGAGGAGACGGGGCAGGAGCCCCACTCATGGCGTGCAGGGAGAAGACCTCGTGCCTGCTTCCCATCCCTAACCTGTGCCGAGCATGGGGACGACGCTGAGCTGGGCATGTCGGGGTGGCATGGAGGGGGCAGGGGCTGGGCTGGGGCCGAGGCCAGGAGCTCTGTGGCTCTGGGAGAGTGGGGGCAGATGGGGTGCTGTGGCTGGGGCTGCTGGCATGCCTTGCTGTGCTCAGTGCCCGGGGTGGGGGGAGCTGGAGGATGGGGGGGAGCTCAGCTGACCGAGCCCACTGCCCCCTTTCTGTGTCCCCTCCGCAGACCTGGGCACACCCAGCCCCTGCCTGAGCGTGGAGTGCACCTTTGGGGCCACCTGCGTGGTGAAGAACCAGGAGCCCGTGTGTGAGTGCCAGCAGGTGTGCCAGGGCCGCTACGACCCCGTGTGCGGCACCGACAACCGCACCTACGGCAACCCCTGCGAGCTGGACTCCATGGCCTGTGTCCTCAAGAGGGACATCAGGGTGAAGCACAAGGGGCCCTGTGGTAAGAGACAAGCTCAGGGGGCTTCCCTCTCCTCCTCCTCTTCCTCTTCTTCCTCCTCCTTTCCTTACTGGGAGTGGTCAGTGATTTCAGCACAGGCGTGGCCCTGCCCACGGGGAGAGAGGGGTTTGGGGTCGTGTTTCTCCAGGTTCAGTAGGAAGGTGGTGGGAGGGAATCATCCAGTGTCCAGCCTGAACGCTGCCTTCCTCCCCAAGGGCTGTGGGGCAGCGGGGAAAGCTTGGGATGAGGCAGGTGTGGGTTTGCTCCCCTGTGCACCCCAGCCCTGCAGTGTCCCCTTACCCAGCAGACCTAACCCTGGCTGCCCTGGTGAGAAGGTGGCTGGGTTGGAGGCATGGGATGAAGTCAGGAGGGTTCATCCTCTTCTCTAATAAGAACCCACCCTGTACATACAGCTCAGACCCTTACACAGCACAGACTCATGGAATATCACCATTTGGAAGGGAGCCACAAGGATCAGAATCCAATCCCTGGCCCTGCCCAGGACACCCCAACAATCCCACCCTGTCCCTCAGAGTGTTGTTCAAACGCTCCTGGAGCTCTGGCAGCCTCAGGGCTGTGTCCACTGCCCTGGGGAGCCTGTTCCAGGCACTTCCATCTGCAGGATCACTCTCTGTGCCAGCTTTGCCAGTCAGGGAGCGTTTGCAGGCAGGCACAGCCCGGGCTGACTCTGTTCTCCTGGGACAGAATCTGTTCAGGTAGCGCTGGGCTCGTTGCAGTTCTATAAAAACACAGTTTTCTGTCCCAAACCTTCAGGCTGGCTGTCAGGAGCTGGCTGCCTTGAGCATCCTCTCCCCTGACCTGCAGAGCCCGTGCATGTCTTCAGGATTTGTGCCGTAGATAGAAACCTCCTGGCCAACAGCACGAACCGAGCAGGGGGTTGGTGCATCTTCCCTCCCCCATGCGAAGGCAGCAGCTGCTGCGTGAAAGAAAAGGAAGGGAAAACCACCTTGGAGCCAAATTCCTCCTGAAATGACTGGCAGGGAGGGGAGGAAAGAGGGGCGTTTGTCTCAAGGAGAAAATGAAGCCGTGAACTGGTAAATGCCCAGGAGTCAGGAGATGTGCTGGCTGGAGTCTGGGCCCTCCTGCGAGGAGTGAATGCTGCTTGGAGAGGGAGTTGTTGGGAAGATAAACATCTTCTCTGCCCCCAGCCTGTGTCCTGGGGGTCCCACCGGGGAGGTGGCACTGTGACATGTGATGTTACACCTGCATCCAGCGCTGCTGGTGCCCTGAGAAACCAGGGGAAGGTGGTATCCCCCTTCCCATCCTGCTGCTGTGCCATGTGGGAATGCTGCTGGCTCTCTCCCCCGGGGAGCCTGGCTGTCAGGGGGGGCTCTGCTCCTCCTCCCCGGGGCTGATTTATTTATTGCTCCCCATAATTGCTCTCAGCCCCCCACTCTCCCACCTCCCAGCACCCAGCCACGGTGACATTTCAGCGCATTACTCCTGGCCCTGATGGCTTTTACAAGTAGTTATTGCCTTTGTGCCTCCCAGCCTTTTCCCTCCTCCCACATCCCTCCCCTCACTCCTTCCCTTCCACTGTGCCCTGGGGCTGCTGGTCCCACAAAGCTACTGCATCTGCAAGGGGTCCACTGAGTGGGGGAGGGAGGTGGGAGCAGGGAGGTTTTACTTCTGCACTGGGTGGGTTTAGATCTGCATTAGTAGGTTTAGGTGGGAGATTTGGAGGGAATTCTCCGCTGTGAGGGTGGGGAGGCCCTGGCACGGGCTGGCCAGAGAAGCTGTGGCTGCCCCATCCTTGGGAGCGTCCAAGGCCAGGTTGGACAGGGCTTGGAGCAACCTGGGCTGGTGGAAGGAACAGGATGGGCTTTAAGCTCCCTTCCGACCCGTAGGATCTCACAGCTCTGATCATCCAACGCCGCCCGCCCTCGCGGTGCCGTTTTAACCTCCTGGCTTTGTCCTTGCTCCGCACAGAGCGCTGCGGGAAGTGCCAGTTCGGGGCCATCTGCGAGGCGGAGACGGGGCGCTGCGTGTGCCCCACGGAGTGCGTGCCCTCCTCCCAGCCCGTGTGCGGCACCGACGGCCGCACCTACGGCAGCGAGTGCGAGCTGCACGTCCGCGCCTGCACCCAGCAGACCAACATCCTGGTGGCTGCCCAGGGAGACTGCAGTGAGTCTGCCAAGGTCCCCCCTCCGTCCCTCCTCTGGCTCCCACCCCAAGGCTCCTCACCCTTTTTATCCCCCAGCTGGTTTAGTTTCCCCGTGGTGGGTGGGGTATCTGCCCTCCCCCTGCGTTACTTGGTGAGCCAAGTAGAGAAATTGGATTAGTGTCCACTGGGCCAAGGAAAGAAATGGGGCTAAAAACGTGTTAATGCCACCACCAGAACTGAAAGCACCGAGGGTCTGTTTGATCAGTTTGATCACACACATGGCTTTCCATCCCCCCCATCCCCTGGGGTTAATTCCTCTTTGTTGCCGTGTTTCCTCCCCACTCCCCAGCCCAGGGAAATGTCAGTGCTAATTTCTTAATGAATTAAAAGCCCTGGCTGGGTTCTTCATTAAGGCAAAAGCTGTTTGGGTAAAAGCAATGATTTGAGCCTCATAAAACCTGTCCAGCTGGGTCTGGTGTTCCAGGGATGAGCTGGGGCCTGGAGATCCTCCCTGAATTCGGGAGAGAATGCCTGAGTGTGACAGATGACTCTCGGCGCTCCGTGGGCTGAAGTCAGAACACACCAGGAGAGTAAATGGCACTTCTTAGTGGTGTAAGAAAGACCCGTGGGGGTCAGGAATGCTCAGGGTGGGCACCTGGCCGTCGCAGAGCCTTTGTGCCGATTGAATAAAGCAGTAACATTAGTGGTCCCCAGCTGTGTGACGCTGCTCAGCTGGCCACGAGAGCCCCCGTGACGCCTGCCTGTGTTCCCCCCTGTGTCCCCAGAGTCGTGTGGCAGCACGGTGTGCTCCTTTGGCAGCAGGTGCGTGGGTGGGCAGTGCGTGTGCCCGCGCTGCGAGCGCCAGCCCCCGGCCCCGGTGTGCGGCACCGACGGGCTCACCTACGACAACCAGTGCGAGCTGCAAGTGGCCTCCTGCCAGCAGAAGAAGAGCATCGAGGTGGCCAGGACGGGGCCCTGTGAGGATGGTAGGTGTGAGGGGTGTGGAGGTGCACACACTGGGGAGAGAGGGAGGAGGGATGGAGGGTTCGCGCCGTGCTCCACTGTGTGTGGAGCTCGGGCACAGTGCCCTGTGAGACCCCAAAAATTCCCAACACAGCAGGTCCTGTGTGCCAGCAACGCCTCCTGGTCACCCAGCACCCCGCCTGCCACCCCCTTTCCCCTGTACCCAGCAGTGTGGGAGGTGACGGTGCCCAGTCGGGTGGGCAAGGAGTTGTCGCTGCTTTGATTTCACACTTCAGCGGGTCTTGTCCAGGGAAACAGAGCCATTCCTGGGGCAGGGAGCGTGGCTGCTGCTTTGCTTCCCTCTGTTCTGGGGCTGCTCGAGGGCCTGGCCTGTGACCTGGTCCAGTGGTTGACATCCCATGGAAGGGGGCTTGGAACAAGGTGATCCTTAAGGTCCATTCCAACCCAAACCATTCCGTGGTTCTGTTGACTGAGTGCCAGGGAAGGCTGTGAGGTTTGGCTGTACCTTACTTGGCCAGGCTAAAAACTGAGAGCCTGCTGTCTTCCCACTTTGGGGAAGGCTGTGAGTTATTCATGTAGGGGAGGCACCTAAATCTCCTGCTCCGGTGAGCTGAGATTCCCTGGCTCGTTGCACATGTAGTTGAGCTGGAAAGGACTTCAGTGTATGGCAGAGCTTAAGGAGAGAGGAAGACATAACATGGTGTTTGATCACAGCCCTCCTTGGGGAATTTCAGGTTGATGTCCCTCTGGGAGAAGAGCTTAAATAATTCTCTGTGTAATGCCAAATCCCAGCCTTTGATCACTCAATAAAAAGGGCCAGGTTTCCCTTCCCCCTTCTCCCCCCGCCCTTCCCCTTTAAGAAGCCTTTGAAATCAGCAACATCTCTCTTGCTGCTGGAGCTCTGAGCATCTTACAGAGAGGCAGCCAGGCTGGGGACAGGCTTTATGTGTTTAAAATATCTCCCTAACCGAACTTCTAAACCCAAACCCCATCCCTTGCTCTGCTCTGGTCTCGGTATCGGCAGCAGCGATCTCCCTGTGCACAGTGCGTTTGGGAGAGCAGGACAAGGAGTGGGATCAAAGCATGGAGTTAAATTGTCACTAAGGCCAGTGGCAGCCCTCCCTCCTGTGCGTGGCTGTCAGCTGGCTGAGCTGCAGGGAGCCACAGGAGCCTTGGCTTGGCTCCTGCAGTGATGCTGGGGAAGGAAAACCTCAGGCCACCTGCAAAAGCAGGTCTGCAGTTTTCATCGTGTTGGCTCAGCACAGTCAATGGTGGGAGAATCTGCTTTGTCCAGGAGGGAGGGATCTTCCCTGACAGCCTGGCATAAGCATCCAGGTATATGTGGGCCCAGGATTTTGGGGGCTGCTTGTGCTGAGGAGGTTAAATCTGCTCAGACAGGTGTAAATCTGCTCCCCTATGCTTGGGCTGAGCCCCGAGTCACCAGGGTGGTCCCTCTTTGCAGAGTGTGGCTCAGGGGGCTCTGGCTCTGGGGATGGCAGTGAGTGTGAGCAGGACCGGTGCCGGCACTTCGGGGGCTGGTGGGACGAGGACGCCGAGGACGATCGCTGCGTGTGTGACTTCACCTGCCTGGCCGTGCCCCGCAGCCCGGTGAGCCCCTCCCCTCCCCTCTTCTCTCCCTTGGGCACGTTCCCTGGGCCAGGAGAGAGCATCCCACAGGATAGGGAACCTGCCCTGAGCGGCTGCTCCTCGCTGTCCTGGCAGGTGTGTGGCTCTGATGGCGTCACCTACGCCAACGAGTGCGAGCTGAAGAAGACGCGGTGCGAGAAGCGCCAGGATCTCTACGTCACTGGCCAAGGAGCCTGCCGTGGTGAGTCCCTCCCTGCCACCCCCACCAAAGCTGGCACAAGCTCTGGGGGTGCCCAGCCTGGTGCCCTTTCCCTGTGGGTCAGCAAGGAAGTGCTCCCTGTGTTGGTTTGCTGATCCCTCTGCATCATTCCTGTTCCGTGCCCTGTGCTCTCCCTGGCCAGGGGTCATGGCCTGTTCCCAGAATCTCCACGTGGTTTTGCAGGAATTTCTGCCTGCTGCTCCATCCATTCCTTGGCCATACATCCCAGCAGCATCCTGCCCTGCCAAAAATAACCTGTACCCCTCTGCCTTCCTCTGCAGCCCTTGCCACAACCCCACCACCCCTCCTGGTTGTGCACTGCAGCCAGACCATCTACGGCTGCTGCCCAGACAACGTGACCCTGGCGCTCGGAGTGGGAGCAGCAGGATGTCCAAGTGAGTGGATATTGTGTTGGAAAAGCCTTCTAAAAGCTTGGGAGTCCAACCCTTAACCCAGTGCTGCCACTGAGCCTTGTCCCCAGGGGCCACATCCACATGTTTTTTAAACGCCTGTCACTTGTTACCTGGGAGAAAACCCTGACCCCCACCTTGCTACAACCTCCCAGCACTTGTGTTTCACCTTCTGCATCTACTGGTGATACTCCTGTCCTTCCAAAAGCCCTGAGACAGCCTCCAGGCCTCAATCCCTTTGAAAAGCAGGAAGGCAGGATGGTAGCTCAGACCTTGCCTGGTGCTGAGCCCCTGCTGGATGCCCCCAAAAGTGCCCCTGGGGCCAAGACTGTGCCATTTGGTGCCTTCAGCCCAGTGCTGGACTCTTAGGGCTGTTCCCCAGCCTGAGTGACAGGAATATTCCACGTGTCCTTGAGCTGCAGGATGAGGTGGAACAGAGCCTGGAGGTTCACCTGGGGACCTTCCACAGGCCACCCCAGGACGGGTGACTAGTGGGTGACTGCACCGTGCAGGAAGCTGAGCTGCCCAGTGTTTCATTAATATTTATTAAATAATTATCAGGGCCAGAAGGAGCATTTTGAAAGGCATTAGCAAAATCTTTAACAGCTGAGGCTGTGGCTGCCTGGCAGGGGAGCACATCACCCCGTGGAGACACGGCTCGTGCTGTGCCTGTGCTGGGCTAATGCCTGTTTGATGAGGGGGGAGTCCTGTGTAATGTGCTGGATAATTTAAAAAGCAGCAGCACTGGATGTCCAGAGATGTCCTGGCAGGAGTTGGGGGGTTGCTGCAGGCCGAGGTGGGTGCTGGGCAGAGGAGACAGTCAGGGTGATGCTGGAGAGGACACGAGCATTTTGCTTTTAGTACCACGCTGGTAGTGATGATCCTCTGTGTCCCTGTGCTGGCAGCAATCATTCACAAGGGGTAATTAGCACTTAACCAGCAGCTTGAAGCCCCTGGGGCAGGTTTGTCCGTGGATGTGCTCATGGCACCCTCCTTGCTGCTCCCCAGGTCCCCCTTTCTCCCCAGGTCTCTTTTCCCCTGCTCCCTGTGGGTAAGGAGAAGCGTCTCTCTGTCTATCTTTGGATCGCTCCCCTCCATCAAGTTCCTAATTAATGAATTAATAATAAACTTCTAATAGCTTCCTTCCCCTTTGATGGTAAATGAGAGAGGAGCTCTTGACGACAGCAGGTCGATCCCTTGGAGGTTCAGTTCCCCTTCAGAGCAGGGGCACAGGAGGAGTGTTGGGAGCAGCTGGTGGAACCTCCCCCTGCCCGGCACGAGCCCACCCTGCCGACCTGGCTGGAGTGTCTGTCCCCTCCTCCCCGGCTCAGCCCCTCTCTGAGGCTCTCTCTGCCCACAGGCACGTGCCAGTGCAACCCCTACGGCTCCTATGGGGGTTCCTGTGACCCGGGGACGGGGCAGTGCTCCTGCAAGCCGGGCGTGGGGGGGCTCAAGTGCGACCGCTGCGAGCCCGGCTTCTGGAACTTCCGCGGCATCGTCACCGACAGCAAGAGCGGCTGCACCCGTGAGTGGGGGCAGGGCTGGGGCAGCACCCAGGGCAGGGGTGGGGTGTCAGCACCCCTCGTCCTGCTGCTCCTGTGGGCACGGCCCCATGTCCTGCTCGGGGCAGGGGGGGTCAGGTTAAAACTGTGAGCTCCAACGTTGGACCCGTTGTGAGGCACCTCCAGTGACTGTCGGTCCCACTGCAAGTCACCCCCAGCAGCTGTTTGTCCTATTGCAAGCCCTCCACTGGCTGTTGGTCCCATTTTGAGTCATCCAGTGGCTGTTTGTCCTGTTGCAAGTCACCTCCAGTGACTGTTGATCCCACTGTAAATCATCCAGTGGCTGTTTGTCCCACTCTAAGTCGCCTCCAGCAGCTGTTGGTGACCTGCTCCGTGCCAGAGGGAGCTGGGTGAGTCTGCAGTTGGCCCCACCAGTCCCCCAGCACAACAGTGCGGGTTTTGCCCTTCTCTCCCAGCCTGTAACTGCGACCCCGTGGGCTCAGTGCGGGATGACTGCGAGCAGATGACGGGGCTGTGCTCCTGCAAGACTGGCATCACTGGCATGAAGTGCAACCAGTGCCCCAACGGCAGCAAACTGGGCATGACGGGCTGCGAGAAAGGTGAGGGACTGCCTGGGGCACCCAGAAACGGGTCCCTGGGAGAGCTGAGAGCGGGAGGGGAGGGGGTTTTGCTTTCTGTGTGGTTGGTGTGCGCTCTGATCACCTCCTCTTCCTTCCCCACCAGACCCCTCAGCCCCAAAGTCCTGTGAGGAGATGAACTGCGAGTTTGGGGCCTCGTGTGTGGAGGTCAACGGCTTTGCCCACTGCGAGTGCCCGTCCCCGCTGTGCTCTGAGGCCAACATGACCAAGGTGTGGGGGACAGGCAGCCTGAGGGGGGCTCAGGGACTGGTGGTGGTTCATCTGCAGCATGGGGGTCTTATGTCTCTTCCCCCCACAAGAAGGAGGAGAGCAGGTTTGGTCCCTGCCTTGGTGCGTAGGGAAGGGTGAAGTGTAAGTTGTAGATGTCTCCCAGCAGAGCTGGATGCTCTGTCCCCCACCTGATTACTTGCTCTGCTTCTGGCCTCCCACAGCCCACCTCAGGTCCCTCTGGGCAGGCCATCACCTCTGCACTCCTCCAAAATTCTCCCAGCCTTTAGAGCCCGGTTCATTCTGCTTGGAGGAGGACAGGGCTGCAGCTCCTGTGTCCCCTCTGCCTCAGAGTCCTCCCAGCATTTAGGGACGAGTTTCTTTTGCTTGGAGGAGGACAGAAGCACAGCTCACGTGTCCCCTCTGCCCCCCAGGTGTGTGGCTCTGACGGTGTCACCTACGGGGACCAGTGCCAGCTGAAGACCATCGCCTGCAGGCAGGGCCAGGTCATCACGGTGAAGCACTTGGGGCAGTGCCACGGTGAGTGCCCGCTGCTCTGGGGGCTGGGGCAGTGCCCTGAGGTCTGGCACCCAGCTGGTGTCACTGGGTTTGCAGCTCTGCTTCCCAGTGCCAGTGCCAGCCTTTCCCGGAACGTGTTCCCCCCTTCCTCACCCGCCCTGTTTGCTGCTCCTTCCAGAGTCCATCACCCACACGAGCCACCCGTCACCTCCCACGCCGCTGCCCACGCTGCCCTTGGACAGGCTCGTCCTCCCCCCGCCCCTGCCCCTCTCCACCCAGGCTCCGCAGCCCACCAAGGTGGCCACCAGCTCCCCGCTGCTGGAAGCCAAGCCCACGGAACGGGGTCACCCCACGACGAGGCGCGTCACGACGGCCAGGCCGGCCACGACGCCCTGGGCGACCCACGGCGGGTACAAGACCACCGTGCGGCCTCTGCCCACCGCCCCGGTGGTGCTGGCCACCCCCCAGCCCGCCTACGGGGAGTCAGGCAGTGCTGAGGGCAGTGGGGACCAGGAGATGGGCGCCAGCGGGGACCAGGAATCCAGCGGGGCCGGCTCTGCCGGTGAGTGCGCGCGCCGGGGGCTCCGGGGGGTTCCACCAAACCCTGGGTTGGGTCACCACGAAGGGGAGCTGTGGCCCAGCCCCGTTCTCTGACGCAGAGGGGAGGTCTTACTGCTGCTGGTGAATGCTCCTCTGCAGGGGAAGAGGAGGAGGTGGAGGAAGGCCAGGTGACGTCCACCCCGGCTGTGGAGAGGGCCACGTGTTACAACACCCCGCTGGGATGCTGCTCCGACGGCAAGACTGCGGCTGCTGACGCCGAGGGCAGCAACTGCCCAGGTGAATTTGTCCTGGGGCTGGGCTCTAGGGTCCCTGTGGGGGGTCAGGAGTCAGACTGAGATGTGGGGTGCCATAGAGAGGCGCCCAGCAGGGAGGGCAGCACGGCGCTGTGCTTGCCCTGTAGGCAGCGAGGATGGTCCCGTGCCCAATCTGGGGGCTGATTGTCCCTTGAAGGGGTGTCCATGGGGATGTGCTGAGCCACAGCAGCTGGCAGGCACGGTGCCCACCTGCCACAGCCCGCAGCAGCCAGCCCTGGTGCTCAGGTGGGCGCTGCTGGGGAGCAGAGCACTGCTGTTCTCTTCCCTCACGTGGCCGCTTTCCTCCTTGACTGCCACAGCCTTAAAAATTTGACCAGTGCTTTGCCCAGGCTTCTGCCAAGCTCACCACTGGCACGAGGGTGGAGGAGGGAATTGCCTGGATTCCCTGTGTTAGTGGCTGTAAAGGGAGCTGGGGCCAGGACCAGTTTGGTGCTGGGGCAGGCGGGGAGAGCAGCTTTACCTCCAGGGTCCCTGCTGGGCATCCTGGGGGCTCTAAGCTGCTTGACTCTCACAGTGGTTCCCAGGGGTGTACTCTGCTCCCCTGACCCAGCTGGAATCTCACTTCCCACTCACAGTCCCTTCCCACGTGTTGAGGAAGCACATCCCCACCTCTGCTCTGTCGGAAAATGTCCATCCTCCTTACCCTGAAAATTGGTGCTCTGGGGCCGTGTCCCAGATATTTCCTCACTGAGATCTTTCCCAAGTGTCCTTGTGGCTTCCAGCAGGACACCCCATTTTCCTCTGGGCACCACATTCCCCTTTCAGCCCTCCAGAAGCTGCAGGGAACCTCCCACATGGTTACACACGGTGGGATCTCTCCACCCTCTGCATCCCACTGCCCCCCCTGCAAGGGACCTGTCGCAGTTTCGCTCGGGTTTGGCAGGGCTGGCCTGGACGGCTCTGTCCTTCCTTCTTGCAGCACAAGGTCTCCTCCTTGTCCAGAGCCCAGGTTCCTCCCTCCTGTGCCCTGTGCATGCCCATGTCTGGCTCCTGGAATGTTGACTGTCCTGCTAACGTGTCTCTCTTGTCACTCAGCCGGTGCAGGGGGGCTGCTCTCCGGGCCGGAGCTCAGAGGAACCCGTATGGTAAAAGCTGCCATCTCCAGCCTGGTCTTTGCCATCTGCTCCAGCACCCTGTGACACTAATCCTCCATGGCTCTCCCAGACCCATCCAGACTAACCCCAGCACTGGCACTACCCACACACTGCCATCCCCCTTCCCCAGGGACTCCGGTGCTCTCGGCCTTATGCCTTACCCACCCTGCCCACCCAAACTAAAGGGGTTTGTCTTGTGTTCCCTCCCTGCCACAGCTACCAAAGTCTTCCAAGGGGTCCTCATCCTGGAGGAGGTGGAAGGCCAGGAGCTGTTCTACACCCCGGAGATGGCTGACCCCAAGTCGGAGCTCTTCGGGGAGACGGCCCGGAGCATTGAGAGCGCGGTGAGTTCTGGGCTCCTGACTGGGGGCTGGGCAGGCATTTTCTGTCCTTGGCAGAAAGAGGGGGACCCTGCCACACCCTGGAGTCACTGAGTCGCAGAATCAAGGCTGGAAAAGCCCTCCAAGATCATCAAGTCCATCATTAAGCCAGCACTGCGTTCACCACCAAACCGTGTCCCCAAGTGCCACATCCACGTGTGTTTTGAACACTTCCAGGGATGGTGATTCCACCCCTGCCCTGGGCACCATGTTCCAGTGCTTGACAACCCTTTTGGTGAAGAAATTTTTTCCTAATATCCCATCTAAAACCCCTGTGGTGCATCTTGAGGCCATTTCCTTTCATCCTGTTACCTGGGGAAGAGACCAACCCCCACCTGGCCACAACCTCCCTTTGTGCTGGGTCAGAAATCCTTCTTCAGCTTGGTGGGACCGTTGAGACAAGAGGTTCTGCCTTAACCCCTCAGATTTCCCAAAGTGTCCTTATCTCCATGAAAAACCCTGAGTCAAAAATACATCCGGAACCCTTTCACCCTCTGGTTCAGCCACGCAGCTTGGGAAGAAGCTGCCTGTGTAGGTCCAGCCTCCCACCCCTAAGGAGAACCCCTTGCATTGCCTGCTGCAGGAGTAGGTGGATTTTGGGTGGCAGTGTGTACATTTGGGGGTGCTGAGGCGGTGCTGGGTGGCACAGCAAACTCAAACCACCTCTGCAAGGACATGAACATATTTAGAGCTGGTTCCAAGCTGCACACAGGAGCTGGCAAGCCCTCAGTGCAGTCACACCAGCAGATGTGGGGCCTGGCACATGGACCATATGGCTCCCTGCAGCTCTGCAGCACAATACCAGTGTTTCCCAGTACAGCCCAGGATGGGAATGTGCACACAAAAGCTCCATTCACCGGTTCATCCGTTAAAGGGCTGTGCTGGTTTCTGTTTTCCCAGGCTGGGAACATGAAACCACAGCACAAAAGGCATCTGTGGCTGGGCTGAGAGCTCCTGCTGCAGAGACCTGTTCCCTGTGCTGCAACCTGCCTGCAAATGCCCAGGGATGGGACATGTTCCTTCACCCCTCTGCTCACTGTTCCAAATTTAAAGGGGGAGACTGTGCCATGGGACCATTAATCAGTTTATTACTCTCTTCTGTCTTTGCCTGGAAGCCAAGGGAAGGAATTGGGGGACAGAGCAGCCTGGACAGACAGCTGGCAGGGGTGTTACAGCCCTGACTTGCTGTGAGCCTTGCACTGCCACTGTCTCCTTCAGGTGACTTCAGACAAATCCTGCAGTAGCCAAGAGCCAAGTTTTAAAAGGCAGGCAGGTACTTAAAGATGCAGAATAGGGCTTTATGGGATTTTCCAAAGTGCCTAAGCAGGTTTACACAGCTTTAGAAGAGATCAGGAAGACTTAGATGCCACACAATAGAAAATCCCTGGATGAGCTGCAAGGTGTCTCTGCTCTGGCTCTGCTCCGCTCCTCCTCACAGGTACCACGGGGTGTCCCACATTATTTAGGGATCCTGTCCTTACCTCAAAGACTGGGGACCATCTGGAATTGTCACCCAGCACAGCAGAGCCCTGTCTGTGGGGGTTGGATGCAAACCCCTGTGGGCTGAAACCAAGGAGACCGTCTGAGAATTAAGATCTTTCCCTGAAAGCATCCTCTCCCCAGGATCTCCCCCTTAACCAGGTGGTTCTCTTTTCCCCTCCCCCTTCCCACCAACCAGCTGGATGAGCTTTTCCGCAGCTCTGACGTCAAGAAGGACTTCAAGAGCATCCGTGTGCGGGACCTGGGGCAGAGCAGCGCTGTCCGTGTCTTCGTGGAGTCCCACTTTGACCCAGGTGGGGGCATTCCCTGTGGCACCCCCAACCCTCCTGGGGAGGCAGCAGGCATTCCCAGTGGGATTGAAGCTGCTGGGTGGGGCTCCTATCTTCACTCTTCCTCTTCTCCTTCCTCCTCCTGGCTGTGAGCAGCCACGTCCTACACGGCCGCCGATATCCAGGCGGCCCTGCTGAAGCAGATCAAAGCTTCCAAGAAGAGGACCATCCTGGTGAAGAAGCCCCAGCAGGAGCATGTCAAATTCATGGATTTTGGTGAGTCCCCTCTGTCTGTGGCCAGGTTTTCAGATGGGCAGGGTGGCTCTTCTGGCCTTGCCAGGGCTTTGCATCTGTAGCAGTAACCCATCAAAAGCTCCCCCAGGCAGTGCCAGGGTGCAGGGGGTGGTACAGCAAAATGGAATGTTCTAGAAGGAATCTTGAAGCTCATCTCATTCCACCTCCTGTGCCATGGTGGTCCCCCAACCCCAAGGCTTGTCCAGCCTGGCCTTGAACACTCCCACAGCTTCTCTGGGCAACCTGTGCCAGGGTCTCTGAGTGAAACCCCTGTGCCCAGACATGTTTTTCACTCAGGAAAACCATAAGGGGGGTAGAATCGCCCCACTTTTTCATGGCATGTGGCAGCTGCTGTGCCATGGGGACATGGCAGGTGGAAAGGGAGCCTGTCCTGGTGCTCCTGAGGTGGTGGCCGGGCCTCGTCCATCCCGATAAACCCAGGGCAGTGATTTTCCAGGGAAGGCAGGGACCTGGCACACCGGCACCCCAGAGTGGGCTGTGACGCCACCGACCTCCACCCACCCTCTTTGCTCTTCCAGACTGGATCCCCAGGCTCTTCACCACCACCGTCACCACCACCACGGCCACCACCATGGCCCCGGCGGCCGCCACCACCCGCAGGGCCACCACGGCCGCTGCCGTCACCATGGCCCGCGGCAGGGCCGGGAGCACCCGCAGGCCCAGCTCCACCCTCCCCCCGGCCGCCAGCACCCGCAGGAAGCCCACCCGCCAGCCCCCGCCACCAGGAGACCCCCCCGGCCCTGCGACTCCCACCCCTGCCTGCACGGGGGCACCTGCGAGGACGACGGCGAGGACTTCACCTGCAGCTGCCCCGCGGGCAAGGGAGGGGCTGTCTGCGAGAAAAGTGCGTGCCCCCCACCCAAGGGGGTCCCGGGGAGGGGTGGGAAAGGGGCCTCAAAGCTCAGCTTGTCCCACCCCACCATCCCAGGTCGCTCTCCAAGCCCTGCCCAGCCCGGCTCTGAGCGGGAGCGTCCCACGTTGGGGTGATAGAGAGGTGGGGGGGGATGCTCAAACCCAGCCCCAGAGCTGGCACTGCCACTGCAGGGGCTGGTTTAATCGGCTGTCATCTTAGCTCTGCCACAGCAGGTTGTACATGTGCTGTTCGCCGTAAAAGCCTGCGAGGTGCCAGCAGCAATTTCCCCCTGGCTCCGCTCCCGATCCACCGGTGCCCCCAAGCACCGGGAAGATTGGGAGATGCTGCTGTGTTAGCTCAGCTCGTGGCACTGCCCCTCACGGCTCCTGACTGCAAGTGTGGCACAGAACAGGCACTGACCATCCTCTCCAGCCCGGGTGGAGATGCGTTCTGATAATCCAGCCTCTATTTCCCGGTGCTTGGAGCAGCTTAGCAAGCAGCTGGAGGCTGGCAGCACGCTTACCCAGAGCTGCTGTTATTTACTGTGAGCCCCCACTGGCAGTTTGGGGTCATGCTGGGGACTCTGGGCGGCTGGGAGTGCTTATTCCTGAAAAGCTTTGTCCCTAAAGCCATAATCTGGAGCGCTCAAAGCTGTGGGTGTCCAGCCCTCTTCATTTTAATAGGGCTTGGCCTCGCAGATCCCTTGGAAAACCTCAGCCCCAGCGAACAAAAGCCTGGAGTGATGACTGTAAATCTGTCATGTGGGATTCTGGGAGGAGAGATAAAAATTATCTAAGGAGCAGGGAAGCTGAGTTACGAGGAGCTGTGTGTGCAGCAGAGCCCGGCTGATGGCACAGGGGATGCAATAGCTGGGCATGGAAAGGACCAACAGCACTGGTTTTTAACTGGGAGGAGCTGGCTGGGGGAGCTGTTTAAAGCCTGGGAGCAGTCTTGGCGGGGAATGGCATCACAAGAGGGGTTTTGAGTCCCAGTGTGAGCGTCTGGGAGGTGGTGATGACAGGGTGAGCGTGGGCTCAGAGGAGACAACCAGCTTCCCTCCACCCTTGTGTCCGGACAGGTAGAAAATGTTCCCTCCACAGGGCTCTGTGTCCTTCTGTCCCCTCCTCACTCCTCTTCCTGGCTCTTGCAGCTATCAGGTACTTCATCCCCAGCTTCGGGGGCAAGTCCTACCTGGCCTTCAAGATGATGAAGGCGTACCACACGGTGCGCATCGCCATGGAGTTCCGCACCCTGGAGCTGGGGGGGCTGCTGCTCTACAACGGCCAGAACCGCGGCAAGGACTTCATCTCCCTAGCCCTGGTGGGCGGCTTCGTGGAGCTCAGGTGGGTGCCCTCCCACCTCCAGCTGATAGGGAGGAAGAGGAGCTGCTCCAGCCAGAACGGTCCTGGCAGGATATCAGGAGGATGCTGGGCTTGGACTCCCATTCTGAGAGACCCAGAATCAAACAGATGAGGAGAGGAGAAGGTTTTGGGGTTTTTTGGATGCGATGGGGAGCTCGTTTCCCTCTGGCACTTTTCAGCGAAGTTAATTCTCTGATGTCACTTTGCATTTTGAAAAGCTGGAAGGTGTGGGAGGTTGATTTTTTTTTTGGGTTTGGGGTGGGGGTGGCGAGTGAGAGATCTTTTTTTATTTTTGTACCGAGAAAAGAAACACAGGTGGAAAAAAAAAAAAGAAAAAAAGGGGAGGAAAAAAAGGGGAGAAAAAAAAGGGAGAAAGGCCCAAGAAATCTGAGCTGGGATGATTTTTTTTAATATTATTTTTTTTCCTATTCCAAAAGCCAAAGGGACATTTTGGAACGAGGTGAGGTGGAGGAGATGAGTCCTCCAGCAGTCCTGATGCTCAGGGTTGGACAGAGCACGCTCTGAGGGCAGCCTGGCGCAGAAGGGGGGCGGGGAGGGAGATGTCACCTTTCTGTGGGATGGCACAAACACGGCCCTCCCCCTTGTCCCCCTTCTTCTCCTGCAGGTTTAACACGGGCTCTGGCACGGGCGTCATCACCAGCAAGGTCCGTGTGGAGCCGGGCAAGTGGCACCAGCTGGTGGTGAACAGGAACCGGCGCAGTGGGATGCTCTCTGTGGATGGGGAGCCCCACGTGAGTGGGGAGAGCCCCCCAGGCACCGATGGGCTCAACCTGGACACAGACCTGTTCATTGGGGGAGTGCCTGATGACCAGATGGCCGTGTGAGTGTGGGGCTGGGTGCTCACAGCGCCTGCCACTGCTTCAGGGGGTCCTGGGGGGGACTTCCTAATTGATTATCTGTCTGTATGGGTGGAAGAGAGACATTGAGGGGCTGGAGTGAGTCCAGGGAAGGGAATGGAGCTGGGGAAGGGGCTGGAGTATCCTATGAGGAGCTGGAGGGGCTCAGCCCAGAGAAAAGGAGGCTCAGGGGGGACTTTGTGGCTCTCTGCAACTCCCTGACAGGAGGAGGGAGCCGGGTTCTGCTCCCAGGGAACAAGAGACAGTGGGAGAGGAAACAGCCTTGAGCTGTGCCAGGGGAGGGTCAGGTTGGGCATCAGGAGGAATTTCTTCACAGAAAGGATGCTCAGGCATAGGAAGGAGCTGCCTGGGGAGGGGGTGAAACCCCCACCCCTGGAGGTGTCCAAGGAAGGCCCTGGGCTGGGGGACAAGGTGGGGACGATCAGGCACAGATCGGACTCGACGATCTCAGAGGTCCCTTCCAACCTAAACCATTCCGTGACCGGTGCCCTGTGGGGGAGCACAGCCTGACCCAGACGCCCGGAGTGACCCAAAAACCCCCAGCTGACCCCGTGCTCTGATCCCCCCCCCCTCAGGGTAGCAGACCACACCACGGCCACCACGGGCCTCAAGGGCTGCATCCGCCTCCTGGACGTGAACAACCAGATGTACGACCTGCGGGAGAAGGGCAGCGACGTCCTCTACGGCAGCGGGGTGGGCGAGTGTGGCAACGACCCCTGCCACCCCAACCCCTGCCACCACGGGGGCATCTGCCACGTCAAGGAGGCGGAGATGTTCCACTGCGAGTGCCTCCACACCTACACCGGTACGGGGAGGGGGATGCAGGCTCCTCGTCCTGCTTGTGGGGGGGGGTGGTCCTGTGGGATCCCAGAGCCTCTGGGGTCAGCACAGTGGGATAGAGGGAGAGGTGGAGGATGAAGCCTCGTGCAGTGCAGGCAGTAGATTTGGGATGTGCCCCCGTTCATGTGCACGGAAGGGCCAGGACCTGTTTGGTTCTGGTGCACCAAATAACGTCCCCTTGCTAACTTCAGGGGCGTGGTCGGCCAAGGGCATCACCTGCCATTTTTTTGGGGGCTTCCTGGGTCACGGGAACCCAGCCAGAGATTGGGGAGGTGTCAGGAGGCAGCAGGGATGTTGCTCTCTGGCTGTTGGTTGGTTTGTGGCGCCGGGGTGATGAGCTGCCCGTCCCGCTGCAGGGCCCACGTGCGCCGATGAGAGGAACCCCTGCGAGCCCTCGCCCTGCCACGTCTCTGCCACCTGCCTGGTGCTGCCAGAGGGGGGTGCCCTGTGTGCCTGCCCCATGGGCCGGGAAGGAGACTTCTGCGAGCGAGGTGGGACGGGAATGGGGCTGGGGAAGGGGGTGGGGATGGGGTTCAGTTCCCCCAGCCGGCACGTTGGCCTCGGGCTCTGGGGCGCTGGGGCACTGGGTGAGGAGGCTGCTCAGCCTCCTCTCCCTCACCATCCCCTCGTTTGTGCCCAGTGACGGAGCAGGACCACACCATGCCCTTCCTCCCGGAGTTCAATGGCTTCTCCTACCTGGAGCTGAACGGGCTGCAGACCTTCGTTCCTGACCTGCAGTAAGCGCCAGGGAATGGGAGAGGGGGCCTGGGGGGCATCACCTGCCTGCCTGGTGGGTAAAGAGACACCACAGAGCAGCATCCTGAGCATGGCAGGTGTGTCTCTCACCTGCCCAGGGAAGGCAGAGTTATTCCAAGGCCTCGGTGCGTGGGGACGGAGGAAGAGAGCACGAGGGGCAGTGGGGTTTGGAGGGTATCCATAATCCTTCTCTCCTCAGGGACAAAATGTCCATGGAGGTCGTGTTCCTGGCCAAGAACCCCAGTGGAATGATCTTCTACAATGGCCAGAAGACAGATGGCAAGGGGGACTTCGTGTCCCTGGCCTTGCACGACGGGTACCTGGAGTACAGATACGACCTGGGCAAGGGGGCAGCTGTGCTCAGGTGAGGAGGGAGCAGCCCTGGCTGCTCAGAGGAGGTTTGTCAGCGCTCTGCTGATGGCAGAGCTCTCACCTGTGTGTCTCCTCCTCCCTTCTCACCCCCCAGGAGCAAAGAGCCAGTTCCCCTCAACACCTGGACGAGCGTCCTGTTGGAGAGGAACGGGCGCAAGGGGGTCATGAGGATCAACAACGGCGAGAGGGTGATGGGGGAGTCACCGGTGAGTTGGCGGCTCAGGGGAGCTCTCTGGACTTCCAGCTCTGCTCCTGTCACGTGTGGAACGAGCTGAGAGTTCCCCAGGCTCCTGGGCTTTGAATCCCTGTGGCACATGGCTTCAGGGCTGGAGGAGGAGCGGGCAGGACGCGGTGGGGGGAGAGGAGGCTGCAGGCAGAGCGTGCCTGTGTCCCTGCAGGACGGCAGCTGCACACCTCTCCCAGCCCTTCCTCCCTCCCTGTGCCCTGCCCACAGGGCTGCAGAGCCCCTGCCAGGTTTCAGGAATGCCTTTGAGCCCCTCACACACACACACCTCCCCACTCTTTATTTTAGATCCTCGACTGTCCCCGTATCAGGGCAGGTTCGTGAGGCACCTGCGGTACCTGTGGCTTTGAGCTGTGCCCTCAGTGGTGGGGGCTCTTGAGAGCTCAGCCAGGAGGAGGTCACGGAGCAGGGAAAGCCCCTTGGCACTGCTGCTGCTGAATCCAGCAGTGCCTCCTCTCTGTTTCCCAGCTGGCAGCTTCCCCCTCCCAACTTCTCCCCATCCCCTGTCCCTCTGCACTTCTGTCTGCAGAACCCTGGGGTTCCTTTAACCCCCCTTTCCAGCTGAGAAGCTGATACTGCAGGAAGAGAGAGCACTGATGGCTGCTGAACCCATCTGTAAGATCCACCTAGAAATGCAGCAATCAGGGTTACACAGCATCCCTGGAAAAGAAGGGATTTCTTCCTCCCCTTGCTTTGCTCTTCTCAAGCTTCTCTCCAAGCACAGCTTACCCCTGGGTGGCAGGGACACTCCTGTCACCTCCTGCAGCCCCCCCTTCCCCTCCCTGGCTACCCCAGCACTGCTGGCAGCGAGGGTCCTGTGGCCCTGCATGTTTGCAATGTCGCCCACTGATCTCCCTTTTTCTCTCTCTTTTTCTCTCTCCCTCTGATTTCCATTTGTATTTTTCCCTCCCCTGCTGTCTCTGGATCCCAGAAATCCCGTAAGGTAAAGATAAGTATGAACCACCACACCTCCATCTCATCTGCCATTGGCACCTCGCTCTCCATCCAGATCTCAGTGTTTCACCCACTCCCCTTCCCATCTGACCAAGCAGCTTTAGGATCTCTTTAGATTTTAGAGCCACTCGTTTCCCCTTCCATCATTCATCCCCAGACAGTTGTTGCATTTTGGCTTGGAAGCATTTCAATTAATCTGATCATTTATTTATTTTTTTTTTTAACTCCACAAAGCATTAGCTTAGTGATCCATGTAATCCCCTGGGCCCCTGGCTCCATCCCAGGTGCCCAGGAAGGGTTGTCATTCCTGCCTGGTGAACCCTGCAGTTGAAGACTCACCCGGAATTTTCCGGGCTGGGCAGTTGGGGCTGCAGGGTGACAGCAAGGAAGGAGCTTCCTCCTCCAAACACACACCATCTGGGATGCAGGAGAACCTCCTCTAGCCACGGGAACCTGCAGCAGCCAGATAGAACCCAAGCTGAATCCTTCTGGAATGCGTTTGGGTTTCAACATCACCCCCCCAGAGAGACTTTGATATTTGGTTACCTGGTTTTGGGGGTCACGCAAAACCAGAGCCCCCCTCTCCATGCCTGAGGGCATTAGAACAGCATCTCCCCAAAATTAAACTCACAGGGAACCTTTTCCAGATGGCTGCTGGCGGGTGGGACCTTGCAGCTTGGCATGAGGAGGTTTCCTGAAGGCCCCTCTCATAGAATCACAGAATATCCTAAATTGGAAGGGACCCACAGGGCTCATCAAGTGCAACTCCTGGGCCTGCACAGGACACCCAGGGATATCCTGACACGTTCTCCATCATCTCCCCTCTCCTCCCCAGGTACCTCACACCTTCCTGAACCTGAAGGAGCCGTTTTACGTGGGAGGAGCCCCTGATTTCAGCAAGCTGGCTCGAGCAGCTGCCATCTCCACCAGCTTCGAGGGGGCTGTGCAGAGGGTAAGGTCCTGCTGGGCAGCCCAGTGTCCAGCTGGGAGATGTGCCATCTGCCCTGGTCCTGCTGGAGGGGAGGGAGGATGAGCCTGGCAATGGGCTGGCCCAGCCTGTGGGTCCATAGGGAGGAAAAGTGGCAGGAGGGGAGGCAAAAGTGTGTCACAGGAACATGTGGGGCTGGGAGCTGGTTCCCATCTCCCCTTTTTCCCAGGGACACTACCCTCTGTCCTCCCACTGCAGAGAGATGGGGTGGTGGAGGGTCATGACAGAATCATGGAATGGTTTGGGTTGGAAAGGACAATAAAGCCCATCCCATTCCACCCCTGTGGGCAGGGTCACCTTCCACTATCCCAGGTGGCTCCAACCTGGCCTTGGACACTCCCAGGGGATGGGGCAGCCACGGCTTCTCAGGGCAACCTGTGCCAGGGCCTCCCCACCTCCCTGCTAACTCCTGTGTTTCCCCTGGCCAGATCTCCATCAAGGGGGTTCCCGTGCTGAAGGAGCAGAACATCCGCAGTGCCATCGAGATCTCGCCGTTCCGGGGCCACCCCTGCACCCAGAAACCCAACCCCTGCCAGAACGGGGGCACCTGCAGCCCCCGGCTGGAGAGCTACGAGTGTGCCTGCCAGAGGGGCTTCTCTGGGGCCCACTGTGAGAAAGGTGAGGTGCCAGGGTGGGCTGGATGTGGGCTGGCAACGGAGCTGCTTCCCTGGCGAGCTGGTGGCGGCAGGACGGCGCAGCGCCGGGGCCAGGCTGGAGATCTCGTCCCTTTTGTAGAGTCCTGGAATGTTTTGTGTTGGAAGGCACCTTAAAAATCATATCATTCCACACCCTGCCCCTTCCACCAGCCCAGGTTGCTCCAGCCTGGCTTTGGATGCTCCCAGGGTGGGGCAGCCACAGCTTTTCTGGGCAACCCATGCCGGTGCCTCCCCGCCCTCACAGCCAAGAATTTCTTTCCAGTATCTCATCTAAACCTCCCCTCTTTTAAGTTTAAATCCATTAAACCGAAATTGCAGTTTAAATTTGACTGACAGTTGATGACAGTTGGCTGCAAAACAGGGAGATGGCCCCAAAATTCCAGACCCTAAAGCCACAGCAAACCTCTCCAGGGGCTTGCTTGGAGTACCACGGGGCTGACATGCCCCAGGGGATGGCAGTTGGTGCTTGCCTTCATCCTCTTAGGGATGCTCAGCATAAAGGGGGGATTTTCCTGGTCTCCAGGGTGGGATCCTGACAGCTCTTGCCTTTCCCACCCCCAGTGATCATCGAGAAGGCTGCTGGGGATGCAGAGGCCATTGCCTTCGATGGCAGGACATACATGGAGTACCACAACGCCGTCACCAAGAGGTAACTCAGCTGCTGAGCTGAACCGAGCTCCAAGCAAGGAGTTAGGGCTGACAGCAGGAGGAAGAGCTGGGATCCAGGAATTCCAGAGGGAAGCAAACCAAACTGGGGCTCTGAGCAGGCCTCACCTCCATCTAAAGCTGCCTTGTTGGCAGCGGGTTTGCCCCAGAACAGCAGTGCCTGGCCAGCTTCAGGCCTGGCTGCTCTCGCTCTGCTAACCTGGGTTAGCACTGCCTGCTTTGGGCTGGGGTGGAGCTGGAGCCTTGGTGTCCCTGCCTGTTTTGTGCCACAAGGGTCGTTCTGCCAGCACAGAGGGGCCATCACTGCTGTGGGACCTTCTCCAGCCTCTGCCCAGCCCCGTGGGCTGGGGGTGCTGCTGTGCACCCCGTGGTGTCCGGGGCTGTGCTGCTCCCTGGGGCTTCTCTCTCAGGATGGGCAGAGCTGCTGGCTGAGGTCCTGTTCGGCCTCTGGGCTGGGTGTTTCTCCTTCAGGGCACTCTGGTTCCACTGTGCCCTGGTTCAGTGCCCTTCCCTCCTCACCAGTGCGTGTCCCTGTGGTTAATTCCCAGCTCCAGGGCACTGGGAGAGGGTGTTGGATGAGACTTCACCGACCTGCCTGTCACACCCCTGGATTCCCTGTTTCCAAACACCCTGCCTGGGAGGGTGTCCGTGCTGAGCTGTTGTCTGTCCGTCTCTGTCTGTCTGTCCCTTCTCAATGTCCCTGTTTCTTTGTTTTCAAGCCACCTGAGCAATGAGATCCCTGCGTAAGTACGGCCCTCCCTGCTCCACTCTGCCCTCACCACGCCCCCATCGCCACCCCAACCTCAGCCCACCCGTGGGGGAGCACAGGGAAGGGTAGGGGAAGGAATTTGGGCCCTCTCCTGGGCTCTGCCACGGGCAGGTGTTCCCATTTCAGGGGGAGGAGGACTCAGGGACTGAGTTTAAGGATGGGCATAGAGGAGGAAAGCTCCTGTAGACTCACTGTTCCATCAGCAGCCGATGGAAATCCAGGGTGCTGATCCTGCACATGTTTTTCCAGCGTGGATGTGGCATTGCTGCTGTAGAGGGGAGGCCAGGCAGTGGAACTGGGAGGATGTTCCCCAGCCAGAGTGTGTGGCCTGGGAGCCCCTCAGAAAATGCAAGTGGGGACGGGGGTTCAGAAGAAGAGTCTGGGCAGCTGATTGGGGAGAAACTTCTTGCCTAGAGCAGCCTTGACAGCTGTGATTTGCTGTCTATCTGTCTGTCTTGCTGAGCACCAGGGGTGGAATGAGAGCCCTGCTCCATGCAGATGTATCCCCCAGTGTCTGGGGGAGAGCTGGAGAGATTCCTGCCTGCCACATCCCCATCTCACCTCATTTTCTACCAGCCGGGGGTCAGGCGGGGGCTTGGGAGGCTGAGCTGGTGTGTGCATGTGTGTCAGCACCTGGGGAGCCACAGAGCCATCACCTGCATGTTCACAGCACTTGGGGAGGTGCTCTGGGTTTGGAAAGGGCTTTTCAGGAGCATCCCAAGTGTCCTCCTGAGCTGGGCAGTGCCCACAGCAGTGAGAGAGCCTGCAGTGACCTGCACCAGTGCCCTGCTGTCCCTCTGCACCCACAGAGCCACAACCCTGCCATGAGCAGAAGGTGTCCTGCCTCTCCCAGTGCTCTGCAAAGGGGCAAGGCCACCATTCCCAGCCTTCTCCCTGCCTGGACCAGCCTATTTTGGCCGTGCATGCCCCACCCTGCGAGGGAGCCTCCATCCTGCATTCACCAGCCCTGCTGGGCTGAGGGACCCATCAAAGCAGGTTTTTTTTTTTGTGCCTCCAGGCAGACACTGGGGCATGCCCTGGGCAGGGCTAACGCTGCCAGTGCTTCTCTGGGCTCTGCTGGCCGTGACATGCCTGTGCCTTTTCTCCTGGGCCATCCATTTTTACACACACACACACACGAGTAGTTCGAGCTGAGCGTGACGCGGGACCTGCAGCCCCCGAGCGCTGGCAGGCAGTGCCAGAGGGACAGCTGGGCTCCTGGATTTCCCCTTCTCCATGCACACACCCCGTGCTCCAAGTCAGCCCCAGGGCTGACTCAGAGGCTGTGTGTGACAGTTCCACTCCACGGGAGCCCATGGCAGGACAAGAGGACGCAGCCTCGAGTTGTGCCAGGGGAGGTTTAGGTGGGATATTAGGGAAGATTTCTTCACTGGAAGGGTGGCCAGGCGTTGGCACAGGCTGCCCAGGGCGGTGGTGGAGTCACCACCCCTGGAAGTGTTCTAGAAATGTGGGGATGTGGCACTTTGGGACATGGTTTAGTGCTGAGACTTGATGGTCTCAGAGGGCTTTTCCAACATGAGGGATTCTGTTGATTCCAAGAGAATTCCTGCAGGCCTGAGACCTGCCTGCAGGGAAGGGGGTCCCAAAGCTCCCTGTCCCCAGCAGTGTGTCCCTGGGATCCACAGCCCAGCAGCATGGCTGAGTACCAGGAACGCTGACAGCCATGGAATCATGGGATCACTGAGGTTGGAAAAGCCTTCTAAAATCATGAAATCCAGCTGTTAACCCTGCACCACTAAGCAGTGTCCCCAAGTGCCACATCCACACGGTTTTTGTGAGCACTTCCAGGGGGTGATGATTCCACCACTGCCTTGGGCAGCCTGTTCCAATGCTTGACCACGTTTCCAGTGAAGAAATTTTCCCTGATATCCAAACTAAACCTCTGCTGGTGCAACTTGAGCTGTCTCCTCTCGTCCTGTCGCTTGTTCCCTGCGAGAAGGGACCCCCCAACCTGGCTACAACCTCCTGTGAAGGAGTTGGAGAGAGTCAGAAGGTCCCTCCTGAGCCTCCTTTTCTCCAGGCTGAGCCCCCCCAGCTCCCTCAGCCACCCCTCACAGACCTGTGCTCCAGCCCCCAGGAGCACACTGGAGCATCCCCACACCACCAGCACAGGGCTGCATTCCCTCCTTGGCCTTATCCTGCTCCGCCTGGCTAAGCCACCACTTCCAAACGTGTTGGAGGCGACTCCTCCATCCCCGGGACGGTTCCTGGCGCTCCCCACTCGCGCTGGGCAGTTTCTGTGTGGGATGAAGAGCTGCTGCTGCTGAGCAGGGCTGTTCCCTGTGTGCCAGGGTGGGTGGGAGGGAAGGGAAGGGTCTCCTCTGCTGCCCCCTGCTTATGGCACGCTCCCCTTTCTTCCCCCATCCGAGTCCCGAGGCGCTGGACTATCCCGTGGAGCCCAGGTGAGTGAGCCAGGCTTGGTGCTCTCGTGTCTCGTGCTCTGCTGTCGCTGCCTCTGCATGTCTCTGTCCCCCTGTGTGTGTGTCCTGTGTGCCCAGATCCTTGGCTTTTTATTTGTAAGGGATGCAGCTCTGCAGAGGGTGAGTAAACAGGGAGGGAGCCCCGTCCCTCCAGCCCAGGAACAGCAGCAGGGTGGGCTCAGCAGGCTGAGGTACCTTGGCAGTACATCAGGCTCCGTGCAGAGCCTTGTCCAGCCCTTTGGGTGCAGTGTCCCTTGGGAATAAAAAGCTGTCTGTGTTGTCCATGCTGTTTCTGTGTCTCAGCATCCCAGGAGTTGTGTGGCCACCCCACAGGGCAAGCTCAGAGCCCTGTGCCTGTTCCAGAAGAGACTGAGCAGAGATGAGGATGCCAGTGGGGAGGAAATCCTGCCCTTCCTTCATTCCTCCCTTGGGAAAAGATGCCTCATCTAGGAGAAAGGAGGCTTTGCTGCCTCTGTGGGCAGCCTCTCTCCCCTTCAAACTGCTCATCCTCTCCCAGTCCCCAGCCCTGGGGAACAAGACTGGTGTGCCACTGCTTTGAGTGGGAGCTGGGTTAGACACCTCGAGGGCCATTTCTTTGATCCTCTGGCCTGGTTCAGAGCTTCCCATCTGCTCCCACCCCGTGCACCAGGCATCCTGATATCCCAAAGTCTGCCAACCCCTCAGGCAGGGACAGACCCCACGTGTAGCCTGATGCCAGGGGTTGGATGGAGGTTGTCCCAGCAGGCTGGGAAGAGAAGGCTGCTCCAAGGAGCTGCCTTGTTTTTAACTCTGCCCCCACCTCCCCACACAGTGAGAAGGCCCTGCAGTCCAACCACTTCGAGCTGAGCATCAAAACAGAGGCCACGCAGGGGCTGATCCTGTGGAGCGGGAAGGGGCTGGAGCGCTCGGACTACATCGCCCTGGCCATCGTGGATGGCTTCGTGCAGATGACCTACGACCTGGGCTCCAAGCCAGTCGTCCTCAGATCCACGGTGCCAGTCAACACCAACCAGTGGATCCACATCAAAGCCTACAGGTGGGAAGGCTGGAGGGACGGAGGGAGGGAGGGAAAAGCGGGAGCGGGGCGGATGCGCCGGGCCGGGCGAGCTGAGTCACGGTGCCCTGCGATCCCCAAGGATCGCTCCTGCCCTGGGATAATAATAGAGGAGAGGCATGTGGGCAGTGCCCTGTGGAGGGGAGCGTGTTGGGGCACGCCTGGAAATGTCAGAGGGGCAGGAACAAGGAGGTCTGGGAAGGTCTGTGCCTTTTACGTGAGCTGTCTGAGGGTTTGACATTCTGGCCGCGCTGAGCCCGAGCTGTCCCTCGTTATTTTTGTTGGCGGTGGGAGTGGTGAGGATCATGTGCCTTGGCGTGCCAGGGATTGCTGTGGTGGGTCTGGAGGAAGCTGTGGCTGCTGGTGGGGCTGTGGGATGCCATGGGGATGCTGGAGGGGAGCACTGTGGCGCTGGACCAAGGACTTCTCCATGCCACAGCCACAGGGAGAGCTCAGCTCCCCTTGCCTTTCCAGCTGGTGGTGCCCTGTGTCAGGGTTTGGTGCAAAGCAGAGAACACCTCTGGGTTTTGCCTCTAATCATCTCCTGTTCCTTCTTCCCCCCACTCTGGGAGCAGGGTACAGAGGGAAGGTTCCCTCCAGGTTGGGAATGAAGCTCCCATTGCTGGTTCTTCTCCACTTGGTGCCACACAACTGGACACAGACGGGGCCCTGTGGCTGGGTGAGTTGGTGTGGGCAGGGTGAGCATCCAGGCTGGCCTGGAAAAAATAGTGAATTAAATCACAGAGTCACAGAATGGTTTGGGTTGGAAGGGACCTTAAAGCTCATCTCTTTCCAACCCCTGCCATGGGCAGGGACACCTTCCACTAGCCCAGGTTGCTCCAAGCCCTGTCCAACCTGGCCTTGGACACTCCCAGGGATGGGGCAGCCACAGCTTCTCTGGGCAGCCTGTGCTGGGGCCTCCCCAGCCTGACAGGGAACAATGGATTTAGATTCTATTTACACTTTTTGGAAGCATCTGTTCTTATCTCCCTGGTCTAAGCCTGTAGTTCAGGTCTAACCTGACTCCCAAGGAGTTCATATTCAAAAATGTAGCCTTGCCTGTGAAAAGAGAGGATCCTGGGGGCCATTTCTCCTTCTGAAATCAGCCTGGAAGTCATGTGCAAAGCAGGATTTGTCCATGAGAAATTTTTGCTTGGCTGCCCCACTGGCTCCTCCAAAAGTTGTGTTTGCAATCACCTCCTCTCATAATTTCCATGTATTTCCTGTGTAATGAGCCCAGAGCTGATATTGCAGAAACTGAACTAAAATACACTTTGAATTCGGAACCAATCCCCAAGGAAAGGAAACTTTGAGTTGAATGGGTTATTTTAGAATAAAAATAGCAGGAGAACAGAAATGCCAATGGAAATGAGTTGCTGGTTGAAGTGCCTTCAGGAAACCTGCAGGCATTGGTTGGAACTGGCGTGGCTGATCTAAGTGGAAATAACTACTACTTATTTTCATAAAACCAATTGATTTAACTGAATAATTAATTGATATTTACTGTTAGCCAGGAAAGAGGTTGGGAGGTCTTCCCTGCTGTTGGGAAGACATTCACGGAATGGCTGAGGCTGGAAAACACCTCTGAGGTCGAGTCCAAGCTGTGCCCCATCACCACCTGGGAACCAGCACCACATCCAGCCGTTCCTTGAACACTTCCAGGGGGATGGGCACTCCACCACCTCCCTGAGCAGCCCCTTGCACTGTTTAACAACCCTTTTCCAGGGAGAAATCCCCCCCTCCCTTAGTTCCTCTCCCGAGACATTCCCAGCGGCGCCGGGGTGTGCGCGCAGGGTGGGGGTGTGTGACAGTGCTGGGGACAGGCTGGGTGTCCCCTGCCCCGTGCCCTGAGCTCTCTGTGTCCCTTGCAGGGGGGCTGGAGAAGCTGAGTGTGGCTCACAAGCTGCCCAAGGCCTACAGCACTGGCTTCGTTGGCTGCATACGGGATGTCCTCGTGGACCGCCAAGAACTGCACCTGGTGGAGGACGCTTTAAACAACCCCAGGATATTACACTGCTCGGCCAAATAGACCCCCCCAGAGACCCTCCCTCCTCCTTCCCTCCCTCCTGCCTATTGCTGTAATTATTTTCTATTTTTGTAAACTTATTGCTTTTTATATTTTTGGGGAGGGGAGGGGTGGGGAGAGAGGGGAGGGGGGAAAAAAGGGAGGGGAGGAAACACCTTTTCTTTTGGGTTATTCATTCGGTTGCAGCCTATCCAGGTCAGGCAGACTCGAATCAAACAGCAGCAACAAAGAACAAACCTTGAACCAAGTCTCCAAGAAGTGACAGAAGAACTTGCCCATTGCATTGTAAATCTTCTTCATACTTGAAGCTTCTTTTTGGTTTTGTTTTTGTTTTTTTGGGAGGGGGGGAGGAGGTTATTTTTTTCCCCCCTCCTTACTTGTGTTCTTGGGTTGTCGTCTGTGCCCGTGGGGGGAGAAGATGCTGGTGCTGGCGAGACGTGTGGCCTTCATGGATTCACTGCCTGGCCCCAACGTCCCCTCTGCAGTGCCTGGCTGAGCAGGGAGGTGGGAATGGCCACCCTTGGCTCTGCCAAGCCTTCTCCTGGCCCTGTGCTCACCCCCGACCTCCCTCCTCCTCCCCCCTCCCTCCTTCCTCTCACTATAATTTATGTGTGTAAGGATCTCAAGTGCTTTTCTCCTTCGTGCTCTGTTAAAATCAGGGATGCCATGCACTGGAAGAGAGACCAAGGCCTGCTCTGAGCAGGCAGGAAAGCATTGCTCTTTGGTTGTCTTATGACTGTTTGCTGGACTGTGAGGTGCTGGGAGTGGGGGGAAACGTTGATTTCTCTGTTGCTTCTCCTCCTCCTCCTCCTCCTCCTCTTGGACACGTGCAGAAGCAGCTGTGAAACCTCATTTCCACGCTCCGTGTCTACCCAGACACGTCCCAACCACCACCTGTTTGCCCTCCTTGGCTGCTCTTCCCAAGAGCTTCTGCCCACCAAGCCTTGCCCTCCCGCGCGCCGGGGATACCTTGGAGCTCCGTCTCCAAGAGCTGGAAGTGCTTCCCCCCCCTCCTCTTCCAGCACTGCCAAACAGGCTGTGAGGGCACAGGGACTGGGCCCCTCTTGGCTTTTCAAAGATCTGCTGGATGTGTCCTCCCATGACTTTGCCCTCGGATTCTTCGCCAGCCTGGGAGCGCAGAGCAGGCACCGGAGCCTCTCCCAGGAGGAGAATTTGGAGTTTCACCTCGGACTTCCACGGTTTTTTGCAACGCCCAGGGCCGTGCAGGGTCTTCCAGGCCATGATCAAAGCTCCTCTGGACGCTGCCAGCCCGGCAGGAACAGCTCCAGCAGGAATGGGAACAGGGCACGAGTCGGGGCTGGAGTGTTTGGGGTTTTTTTTTGGGGGGGTGGGGGGTGGATTTTTAGGTGTTTTCTTCCTTGAAAGCAAATGTTGTAGTGGCCAGTGACAAAGCCAGTAAGTGTGTCCGTGAGTGGATGGTGAGTGTTTGTGAGTGTCTGTCGCCCAGCACACGTGTGCCTACAGACATGGGATCTCCTGGAAGCAGGAGAAGAGCCAGTGGATCGCAGCTGGGGAGGAGATGACCCTCTCCATCCAGGTTCCTTCTCCGTGGGAAGGATTTAATGATGCTGTGCAGCATCTACGTCCCCTCCCCACCCTGAGATGGCAACTCTGTATAAAAACAGCTTTATGGAGTGTACAGAACGAACCTGAAGGATCCCACCAGCTACTGAGTGTTAATTAATACCCGAGGTGCCATAATTTTGCAGTTTATCCTTCAATGTCTAGCACACCTTGCAGGGTACCCTTTAAAAACGGTGTTTTTTGGCACTAAAGTTTTGAGCCACGAGAGGTCAAAAGCGTTTTCTCAGGGTGAGCTCTGAACACAGGGGAAGATCGTGTGTCAAAACCACTCGGGGCTTCTCGTTTCCTTCTTTTTACTTGATTCGAAGAAAATTATCCCCCTCACCCCCAATCCCCAATCTGTGACATTCCTCTCTAAATCCAGTGGTTAAATATTCCATTGGGGAAATACTATTATTCCATGGGGGGAAAAGGGAGGGGCTGTGCCCTCTGTGGGATGGAGATCTGGGGTGTGTCTGTGTGTGTGTGTGTGTTTGGGGTTGTGTGGGTGCCAAACCCCACATTTTAAGTGGCTGCTGTATAGAAATTGTGGGTCCTGGGGGGGAGTGCTGTGCTGTGGAAAGGAGGGGAGGGTCTTGGATCTGCAGGATGAGGTGGAGACCCCCCCAGTCCGTGTTTTGAGAAGGGGGATTTGCAGCTGGGCAAGGCTGAGACAGGGCTGGGTGACATAGAGGGACGGGGTTGGGGGGGAGCACGTGCAGAGGAAGCTGCTAATTTTCTGGAATGCCACTCGAAAAACGAAGCCAGGGTCACTGCAAAAATCACAACCCCGACAGCTAAACAAAACAAACAAACAAAACAAAACAAAGAACTCTGTCTGCTTTTGCTGGGGCTTGGAAATGCCTTAAAACGAGGCCGTGGCGTCCTCGTGTTGGAGCATCTTGAACCGAGGTCAGACTCAGCAGTGCTCCCTTGGGGCTGTGCACTTAACTACTTGGGCTTTATTTTTAATAGCATTTATAACATGTATGTACAAAAAAAAAAAAAGAAAAAAGAGACATTGAGGTTTGTTTTTTTTTTCTGGGTTTGGTTGTTTGTTTTTTTATATTGATTTTGGTTTTGGTGTTTTGTTTTGTTTTTTCCTTTTTTTTTTTTTTTTAATGTCCACGTGGCTTCATTTATAGGGTAAATTAATGACCATTGTGAACTGCTGTATGAATTCTGAAGGGCAATGCACAGTAGAGGAGCAGCATGATATAACCATTACTAACTCGTGTCTTTCGTCAATCACCATGAAATAAAGTTTGAAAACTATTAAATATGTTTTTAAGGGGCCTGTTGCTTCTTTTCTTTTTTTTTTTTTTTCGTATCTCAATTGTTCACTGTTTCCTGGACAGATTTCCCTCAGAACCTGAGTGGCTCATGCAGGTACCTGCTGTATCTTCTGAGGCACAGGGTGGGATTTTTGGGGTGTCCTGTGCAGGGCCAGGAGCTGAACTCTGATCCTTGTGGGTCCCTCCCAACTCAGGATATTCCCTGAGATGGACCAGCACTTCCATTCCCACCCTGAACAGGTTTTCCTGAGGGTGCCTTTGCACCTGGCTCTCCCACCAGTGCCTGCAGCATCATCTTTCTGCCAGAAAAGGGCGAGAGGTGCAGAATTCCATTCAATAGGGAGCTCCAGGTTCACCCAAGCGGGGTGGAGCGAGATCAGAACATGGGTTTCCTGCCATCTGGGAGCAGCTAATTTAGCAAATGGAGTCGTTTTGATACCAGCAAGGATGGGAGTCCATTGGGGTCTGAATTGGCTCTTCAGCGGACAGCGAGTGGGGAACAACAGGCCCAGTGTGTGAGCAGCCCCAGGGGGTGCAGAGCTCACCACTGGGGCCGTGTTTTGCTCAGGATCAGCCTCCTGGGGCAGCCTCTCCCCGACAATGACTTGATTATGCCACGACAGGCACGGGCTTGCGAAGCCAGTCCCTCTTCCAGAGGAGCTTTGCCAGCTCTGCTGCAGAGCAGCAGGAGAAAAAGCCATCCTTGTCTTGGCCAGAGGGGAGAAGAGCCCTGGCAGCTGCAGGGATTTTTTACTTCCAGGCTGGAAAAAGCCATTGTGAGGGGAAGGAGGGAAGGGGGAAAGGACAGGAGCCGTGCTGGGGGGCACGCTTGGGCAGGCAGCACGTGGGACTCAGGAGCAGGGGATGGCCTGGCCATGATTTTGGCAGCTTCCCAGTGCTCCCAGGAACACGCCTGGCTGCCCAGCCAGCACCCACTGGGAGCAGAGGCAAAGTGCTGGTGTCTCCCAGAGGAGGCAGCACAGGTGGGGTTGGGTGGTCTCCCCCATCCTCAGCTCTCTCCAGGAGTTCCAGCCTGGCTGTGTGAGAAGCCAAAGGGGGGGCCTTCATTAAAGGTACAGAAATTTAGCAGGAAATAACACCCCATTGAGCTCCAGCTGGTCCTCAGAGATCAGAGGGTGCAGCTGGGCTTAATTTCTGATTATAACCAACTGAGCACTGTCAGTCTGGTTGGGCTCTGTAAAAGCACAGACTCACAAATAATTCAATTTGCCAACCCAGGACTATAGGGCTGATCATGTTCAATAAGGATTTGCATGATCCAGACATCACAAATAGTGTGTTTTCCCTCTCTGATTTTTCTGCTCCCCCTCCCTCCCTTTGCATTATAAATTTTTGGGCCCCAACCACGTTGTTACAGGTGGGGTTTGGTGGCTTTGGTCATACCTGCATTACAGACCTCGTGTTCTTCCTCATTTTTAGTCTGAGAGGTGTAAAATTCAATATGTAAACGGGGCCTAATGAGGGTCTGGCTTACTTTTGGTGGGAATTTACAGCTGTGGTTTCCTTTTTTTTTTTTTAACGAAGAAGCTGAACTGCTGCCCACCAGCAGTGCCCTCAGGAAGGGTCTCATCCCAGTGACACACACGCAGTTTGGCCTCACAAAGGAGCCTCAGTGCCCTGAGAGAAGGTCCCAAGGCCTGGGAGCCTGGATGGGAGGGGAAAGGAGGGGAGGAGAGGACAGGGGTCACCATTAGCAGGGGTTGCTATTTGGCCTCTGTGGTCCTCGTTGCCCTGTGAGCAAGCCAGTGGCATTCAGGGAAGCTGAAGTCAGAAATGAGCTGGCTCCTGGCTGCCAGCTCCCTGGGTATTCCCCGAATAGACATGGAATTCGCTGAGTCTTATTATAGTTATAAAACTGCTATTTTTGACACCACAGGCAGACTTGGGGGGAGGGAGGGGATGTCACTGGCTGTGTCCTGGCTTTTTCTCTCCCTTGGACAGCTGGCTTTGTTTCCTCACCCAGCATTCATGAAAGGTGTCAGACTGAGGGCATTTCTCTGGGTTAATTTCTGGCTTTTATGTGAAGCAACGTATATTCCACAGGAGTTTGTTTAAGGCCTCTGAATTGACACTTCAGGTAACGAAATGTGCTTTATTTGCATGAAGTGCACACCTGGCCCCCAGTTTATCCCAGTGGGAGGTTTTGGTGGCACCAGAGATGTTGGGATGGGAGTGGGGGACTCACCCTGGGGACGCTGTTGCCCTCCTGGCTCCAAAGCACCCTTGAGTCAGGAGCATTTAGGGATAACAGACATGGCTGTTTTTGCTATTGTGGCTTGTTTCGCTATTTTGGCAGCTTTTATGAACTTTTATGAACTCAGCCCCCAAAATCTGGACCTTTAGAGGTGTTTGGGTACTGAGGGATGTCTTAAATTGCTGCTGGTCCCCCTGTACCACACCTCAAATCCTGGGTTCAGCTTTGGACTCCTTACAAGAAGAAGATCATTGAGGGGCTGGAGTTTGTCCAGAGGAGGGAATGGAGCTGGGGAAGGGGCTGGAGCAGCAGAAGCAGCTGAGGGAGCTGGGGGGGCTCAGCCTGGAGAAAAGGAGGTTCAGAGGGGACCTTCTGGCTCTGCAACTCCCTGACTGGAGGGGACAGCCAGGGGTGGGTCGGGCTCTGCTCCCGGGGAACAAGGGACAGGACAACGGGAAACAGCCTCGAGCTGCACCAGGAGAGGTTGAGATTGAACAGGAGGAAAAACTCCTTCACTGAAAGGGGTGGTCAAGCGTTGGAAGGGGCTGCCCAGGGCAGTGATGGAACAATCGCCCCTGGAAGCGTCCGAAACCCGTGTGGATGTGGCACCGGGGGACAAGGTTTAGTGGTGTGCACTGGATGATCTCGGGAGGGCTTTTCCCACCGTAACCACTCCGCGACTCCATTCCAGGAACTCCCCCGCGCTGCCAAGCCCCGGGTACGATGGAGATGCGGAGAAGGCGCCGGGGGAACAGCCCCAGCGATGGGCAGCGGGGCCGGAGGCTGCGGGGATGGGCAGAGGGACCCGGGCGGGGCGGAGGGCGGGGATTCCCCCGCGTCACAGGGAGGGGTTTCCCCGGCGGTCCGGGCCCAGCGCCCGCCGGGGCGCGGCGGTGCGGGCAGTCGGTGCGGGAGCGGGGCCGGGAGCGGAGCTCCGTGGAGCCATGACCTCCCGCAGGTAAGGAGCGAGTCATCCCATCCCATCTAATCCCATCCCATCTAATCTCATCCCATCTCGTCCCATCTCATCCCACCCCATCCCGTCCCGACCCGCGGCGAGCGCGTCCCCCCGGCAGCGGCCACCGGAGCGCCCGCGGGTCCCGGGCACCGCTTCCACCGGCTCCCACTCCAGCTAGGACCTGCCCCCCGTCCCCGCGAGTGCCCCTCGGTTCGCCCTGTCCCCGTGTCCCGTGTCCCCGTGTCCCTTTGCCGTGCCGCCGGCTGCGCGCTGTCGGGGCTCCGGTGGTCGGGATAAAGTTGCACCTCCCGCGCCTTCCCCGTCCCCCGGTTGTCACCCCCGCCCCTCTCCCCCAGCCCGCTCCGGGTCACCCCAAGCCCTCTCGGCCCCGCGGTTTCTCCCCGCAGCACCCCAAGACGTTTGGGAGCATCCTGTCCCATTAGGCGCGGTACCCAGTGCTGGGGATGCTGGAGAGGGGACGCCAAAATAGGAGAAGCGTTAAAACTTGCTCGAAATGTCTTTGTGGGCTGTGGGGTGGAAAAAAGAAAAGGATGTACTTTGGAGCATGTGGTGTGTTGGTGGTGCCTCCCCCGGCTTCCCCCACAGACGCTGTTGCTTCAGGGGTTTTTCTTGGGTGGTGGCAGAGCCTGTGTGACTTGGGGGCATCGTCCCTGCTGTGGCTTCCCGAGGGATAAATGGACATCTTCTCTCCGTGCCGGGTCACACACACACACAGCCCCCGCGCTGCAGTGCAGGAGGGGGATTCCTACGGCGGGTTCTTCGTTCCTGCGCGTCCTTTCCCCGGGACAGCCTTAAGGTGACCTGAAAAAGCCTTTGTTGCTGTTGCAAGCCGAGTGTGTTCCGAAAAGCCCTGGGGAGGGAGGTGGCCCGGAGCAGCCGCTCAGCTGCCGGTCAGGGCTGGGACCCGGGATCGGTTACAGGACAGGGAGTGCTCGGAGGTGCCGCAGGACCCAGCAGGGCCAGGACATCGCGGGGGCTGCCACAACCACCCCCCTGGACTTGTGATAACTCCGTATTCTCCTCACTCACATTCCCGTATCTCCGGCGTTCAGGGGCTCCGTTGGTTTAGGGGTTTTTTTGGGGTGGGGTCTGTTTTTGCCGTCCAGCGCTGGGCTGTGTTTTGTGAGCGCCTGGTTCAAAGAGTGAAGAAGTTTTTAGGAAGAGGCAGCGTCTCTATGGGCGGTGCCACGCGGAGTTACAAAACGTGCCGATGGGTGATGGAGTTGAACAGCAGAGGGCTGGGAGCTGGGGCCCCCCTGGATTTCACTCCCAGCTCTGGGAGAGCTCCCCGTGCCCACAGGCAGGTCGATATTCGTCCGTGCTGCCCTTACCTTGCTGGCTCCACCCTGCTGGGGACAGCACCATGGTCGGGATGCTGCTGCCAGCTCAGCACTGCAGGAGTCCTGAGGAACCTGGCTGGTGACTGCTCCTGCTGCTGAGAGGGGGCAGAGCCACATGGGCTGGATTTTTGGGGGTGATTCCTCCCAACATCTGTCGCTCCATCCTTTCCACCTGTGCCAGATTTGCTGTGCCTGGTTCTGAACCACCGCTCAGGTCCTTTTTCCCCAGCCTTTCTCCTCTTGCCCAGCAGGTTTTTAGGGTGCCTGCCAGGTGTTTGTGGCACCTTTCTGCCCTGCCTGATCCCTGGCTGATGCTGTTCTCCCTCTGGCTCGTGGCATGGCCTGGTGCTGCTCCTGGGATCTGAGCGATGCTGCTCAGCCATGAGGAGAGGCCTTTGCTGCGCCATAAAGATCAGGGGGGAATAAACCTCACACCCCCAGCCAGCAGATC